AAATTTTTTTAAATCTTATTTGTCTTTGTTTTATTCATTTTTGTGTCACCTTTCTGGCTTAGCCTGAATTCTGGCTTACCCGAGTCCAGCTTTGTTGTTGCACACCAAACCCCTTCTTGGCCACTTTACAAACTTGATTTGCACATTAAGATAAATAGCCTTTGGTACTGAGGTTAATCTTTCATTAAATAAGCAATACGGTTTCGACTTTCTGATGAAGTTTCCAAGTACAGGCAGCCCAAGGCGCAGGTCCGACCGCACGTTTCTGCTCATCACTATCAGCGGTTTAAAGCGTTTGTTCTGCCCATGTGTGGTGAAGTAAGTGACAAGGTTAGGAGTTAGTGTGAATAAACTTTTAGTTGCAAGCATGAACATGCATCCATACAATGATACCAATTTATCCCCTTGTATGCCTGCGACATACCATGGGTTGTCAAAGATATGAAAACATAGCTTTCTTATGGTTGTCTCTTGATGGGTCTTTTTAACCTGGTTTTGATTACTTTTGTGTCTGAACTGCTAGCTTGTTGTAAAAAAAAACTACAATTAAATGTGGTAAATCTCCACTTATGGTCGATGTTGGTTGAGAAGTTATAGGTAATAGCTTTCGCAGGTAAGATACGTTTTTAATTATCTATTGGCTTTGGCATGAATGTAAATTAAGTATTTTACATAAAAAAAATTGTGATTACTTATAGTACTATACTGCTTTTTGCCTAAATAGTTTTGCTCACAATGGGAAATTTGAAAATTCAAACCTTGAATGGGAATTGATTTGGCCTAATTTCTCTGGGGTTGATAAAGGGATTAACATCGCTTTGCACACTTTAAAAATTGCAGTTAATTCTGATTAAAGTCCTGATCCAGAACAGGAAGCCACCAATTTATTGTGGTTCATCCAATCAGTGACTTGTCCATTACAGTATGTAAGTCAGTTTTGGTCAACAGTCAGCTCTGATGCAAGAGAGATGTCTAGGAATACAATACTAGAAACCCACCCAGGCTTATAAGAGTGGATCCAAATTAAAAGTGATTTTCTAAAACTTGTTTTAAACTAGAGAAGTAGGTAGGTTATACATATGGAAGGGATGTTAAGGTACAAGAGGGGGACATCCTTTTGAGGTATGGGATCATTACACATAGCCATAATTGACCAATTGTGTAATAATGGTCACAAAAATGAAGCCTAACTAAATGTGATCAACTTATAAGTAATTGCCCATGCGTTTATGCTGAGGGCATAAAGACAACGTATCAGTGAAAAACATTTACCCCAGTGTGGACTGCATACAAATAAGCTTTCCACAAACGAAGGTATCTTGGGTGTCAAGACATATTTACAACACCCATAGTTTTGTATCTGTAGGCATTTAACACCCCGATGTCTTTGAAAGGATTGGCAGGATAAATAATACGGACGCTTTATTGTGGTACGCATTTTCATAGAAGTGTGTGCCAGAGCAGTACTGGCATGTAAATTGTGCCAGAACATGCAGAACCAGGTCCATCTTTTAGATAACGTGAAACATAAACATTTTAAGTCATGGAAGGTCAAAGTTATGTTTTGCAATGTTTTTACTTTTTACCATGTACAGTGGCATATACCTCCAAAATGTATGTCTGGGGACTACCGTTTATTTTCGTACTGAGTGAAAACATGTTTATCTGAAATAAGAAAAATTCCAAGAGGATATAACAACTCTTTGGACCTGTTACACTAGTTGTCACCTTTGTTAAACTTATGAACCCTTTCACCAACTCGCTATTAGAATTAAAATTTGTCCAGAGTTAGGCAGGTTGTCTGGGTGGCCGCCATTTTAAACATATTTGTTTGAAAGAAGATATAAAATTTGTTTTCACTTAATTGTACATATTACATGTCTGAGTGTTGTATAATGTTAATGTGTGGCCCAAGCATTTATGAAGAGGCCAAATGAAGGAACTTCATAAGTAGTTCATAAGTACTTGTGTGATTTTTTTATCTTCATGCCATTCTCTTCGAAAGGGTGATATAATGCTCATTGCAAGAGTTTAGAAGGGGAACTTAATCTCATGTGAAGCACAAAACATTCTCTCCCAATTTTATTGGAATATTATTGTGATAAAAAAATGCCTCTGCCCAAATGGGCTCGAAATGTTATATTGTATTCCCATTATGTGGACCTGTCGCATGCAGCACTACCAATATATGTTTGGCACTGTAACATTGTTTAATTCTCAGCTGAGTTGCAATGATCCTATTGAGATCTTGCTAACAAAAGTTTAGGGAAATTAAGCACTGCCGATGACCTTCCCCTCCACCCCATGAAAAAAGTGGATATGCCTGGAAAAGATGTGCTGCAAATTTTTATAAAATGTGTATTCAATTATTAGGATCTTCAACAATTGTTGAAAGGATGATTGATTTATGTGAGTGGATAATCAAGATTTTTGGGTGCTTTCAGAAGTGTGATGCTTTGGGCAATCCTCTTGAACTCTCAACCGCGAACGTGTAAGATTTGGACATATTTCTAACTCATAAAGTTTGAATGAGATATATAGGAATGTCAGATTGAGCCACGGGGCTTTTTCTTTAGAAGTACATCAAAGGTAAATGCATGGACAGATTAACTTATTTCTTTCACATTCAATTTGATGTCCTTACTCCACTTAAATATGTTGGTCTTCCACAATTGCTGGTCGAGTAATAATGTTGATAAAAATATTGTTGAATATTTTGGGCTTTTTTGTAGCTATATAGGGATATAAAAATAATGGAGATCATTATTATGAGTGCGTGTGGCACGGTTACTGCCTGCTGCCACTCATCTGCCAATGATTCCTACGGTGGTGATTTATGTTCAAACCTTGATTTAAAGCTTTCGTGACTGCAGGGATTCATATTCTTGGTTCTTTCGGTAAAGTCACGTAGAAGGGAAACAATAAAATAATACAAATATAAAACGACAAGAACATTTGAAAAAAGTGGCGGTTTTTTTTACGTAAAAAAACCGCCACGTTTTTCAAATTTTCTTGTGGTTTTCACACCTGATGATGATTGCTTGTGTTGCAGTCGAATCGTCGTGAGAATTTTAGTGTTTTATATTTTATTATTTTATTGTTCCCTTCTACATGACTTTACCGAAAGAACCAAGAATATGTTCAAACCGTTTAATAATTGAGATATAAAGTAGTATTATTAATTATTTAAAGGTTTATATTGGCAGTATTCCATGATATAAAGCAGATAAAGTAAGTTTGTTGTATTTTAATGCAATGCTTTTGCAAGGCATCTTGGAGAATATTTGGATTTAATGGTATTACCCATCTTTATTATGGTGAAATTTACAAAATTATTAAAGAAATATCCGTTCTGTAAATTTAGCATACTTGAAGTTGGAGTATACACATGCAATGTTTTAACTTGAATGGTCAAACATGTGGTATAAAATGAGTGTCCGCAAAGCTTGCACATGAATATGGAGGGGGCTGTTTGGGGACCAACTGGGTTTACAGCCTTGGTCCCTTCTGGCTGTTGATGAATATAGCAAGTCAGCAGTGGTGATGAATGGGGTGCGCCCACCATTGTCGCATTGATGCATGCCAATGAATGGCTTTCTAATTACAATTTTATCATGTAGTCCAGGAAGCGGAGAGACCATTGTTTTGGTAATGGGCCTGAACAAGTGCATGTAAATTGAGGAAGGGATTGGCCATAATTAAAATAGGCGGGGTGTCCACGCCACTGGGAGACTCAGGGGATGGCACCACACAAAGGAAGAGGCGAGGAACTGGGAAGAAATTGTTCTCACATTCGTCTTGCGACCGCGCCAATTAGTCCTACCCATGATGGCTGCGTGGAGACAGCTGTGCTACGGGACCCTGTCTCTCGTTAAGCCGGTATTTCATGGAGACTAATAGAATACCATTTACCTAGTTTTGCTTTCCTGAACTTTGAAATGAGTAGAGTGAGCATTGAACAAGAGTGATCCCTCCTCGCCACCGTGGCACCCAAATTTGCCAGTTCTTGCATTCTACACTTGTGTAGCTCGGTTGTAAACCACATTGCTTTGTAGCCCAAGAGCTTGGCACAGCCTAATTGAGCCATACGTTTTTATAAAGTTCAGTTTTAACCGATTAATCGTGTTACATGCCAGTTGTGTATTATAGCTGCCTCGTATTTTAAGATGCCAATCGCAGTAAAGATTACTACCCTACTACAGAAAAAAATCCCTTATTTACGAGGAACACCTTCCACATTATTGCTTAAAGATATATATGATTATGCATTTATACTGATGATTATTCAGCAATACTCAAAACTGCAAACGCACCATTGGAGAAATTACATGTAACTTATGTTGGTATCAGTATACATTTTGATTAGTGGCCAAACAGGGCTGTGAGTAGTATGTGGGCACATGACCAATGTTTTATAAAGGGTTGCCACAGTGCCATTAGTTTTTAGATTTGGCTTGGAAATGTTATTATTTGTTTAATTGGTTGAGTATGTGGTTTTAGTTTCGTTTTTAGCAAAAAATGTCATATGATTGGTTTGGGAATTATTGTTTCCAAAATATAATGATATAAGGTAAACGTGCAGCCTTACAAATGTTTGCTCAGCAACTGCTGGCAAAGTGTACTTGCGCATTTTGCTCGGTGAAATTCTTAATTGATTTTCTCATCGAGTAAGATTAGCATGGTTGTCTACGTACGGTGCAAAATCAGTTCAACATGCATACATCTGAAGTAAATTGTGAAAGAAAAAAAACCTACTAAAGATACTGTGTTGGGCAATAGGGTTTTGAAATGTCCTAGCCTGTGTTGCAGTAGTAATGAATGTGTGTTACGATTGACTACAATGGCTCAATGTGCTGCTGTATTACAAAACAGGAATGAGAAAATTGAAGTGTGTGGTATGCTGTCTTGCACAATATTTTAATACCGCAACAGATTTACATGTAGAATTCATGCACTGTACCACATGGTCTAAATGAAACCCAAATCCACGTGCATTGCAGCGGAGGCTTCTCACTGGCCCCGAGCTCGTCGGCACAGCCTCCACGGCAAAGCGGGGCTGGAGACGGAGGCGGTGCGCGGGAGGCCCATCAGAGCAATTTTCAGCAGCCGGAGGGGGGGAGCAGCTTCGGGGACTCCGGTCATGAGCAGCAGGGGAGCTGGGATGCGGGAGATTCCAAGGCCGCGCAGCACGATGACGAGCTGAACACGTACGGGGACGACGCAGTGCTCGACCTGGAGATTGACGAACCCCTCGATGACGACTTTCAGGTGCAGTTTAATCTCAAGGAAGACGCCACCTGTAACACAAGCAATTTTTTTCGTGAAATTTTGCGGCGAACGACTGTGGGCATTACAGTACTTTGTATCTCTCAGATTCACTGGGCTGCGAGGTAGTTTGATGGTGGCGGTGCAGCAAGTGGATTCACGAACGTATCCGGGTGGACCATTACTATTTCCATGTATGCATAAGTTCTCTGGGCAGTTTAGTTTCATCCCACATGCACATCAGTCCTGAAAAGTAATTGGCTAGCCAAGCCAATGCAGAATCTGAATGATGGATTAACTGATAGCACAGCTCCACTTTTGTTCACCTCGTGTTTTTGCCGTCTGAATTTCTTGTTATCTTTGATACTTTGTCTGCCATCTTAAATTGGTGGTAAAGTTGGGATTCAGTCACTTTTCTTGAATGTAAGAGACACTTAACACGTATGATACACATGTGTTTATTTCATATGGCATTATATGCTTTAGGAGTTGGCAGTACATAAATTATGGTTGCTAATAATATGATGTGAATTTGAAGCCTCATCAGGGTCCTCCAGTAAATGATTTTTACCCCTGTAGTCCAGTTTCCTTGCATTTGCTAAAACAAAACAGTGTGCAAATATCCCAAGCAGGACCCTCCTGAAAAGAAGTCTTGACAGTTAGCAATGGTTTCCTCCATACGCTAAGGACATCATTATTATCTGCATGTTCAAGCTCCTTACAGCATGATGTGTGTTGCAGGATGATTCATTGTTGCTGTCAGATTATTCCCGGGGTGCTGCTTCCCATGGCAAACAAACCGAGCCTCAACAGCCACCCAGGGAAGAGCAAAGCTGGCAGGGGACGGCATGTGAAGCTCAAGGGGCGACCTCGCAAGGGGAACCACAAGCAGTCAAAGAGCCCGATGTTCCAGAGGCTGCTGAGGAAACAGAAGAGCAAGTTGAGGACGAGGTGGGTGTTCGTTTTTTTCCTCTTAAGTTATGATGCAATTCTAATGCAGTTGCGCTATTGATGAAGCACAGTTGTCACTGCTAGTAGTGTAGCATCCAATGACGAAGCCAGGATTTTCAGGTAGTGGGGCAACCCCTCCAGCAATGAAAAATGATAGGAGTTGTTAGTAAGTAAGGACTTGTCCCTTACTTTTTATTTGACGCGTGTGCGGCGATGGCACAGCCATCGATTGAGGGTCGAATTCGAACCGCGTGCGATCGGCCTCGCGCTCGCTGAAGGAGAATGCCTTCAGGGAAGTCGTGTACTGTATACGCAATTGCGCACAATTTTGAGAGTCAGTTATAACTGCTTTGCCATTACTTATTGCCAATTATGGACTTAGACTATTATCCTATTATTTCATAGAGTCCCTGGCACGTAATAATATGCTACACAGTGGCAGTGGGGGTCGCAAAATGCCGATTTATTACTAATAATGCAGTTGCGCTATTTAGCAATCTTTGGAAGGACGTTGATCAACCAGGTGTAGTGTTAACTGTTGTGGTGGCCGACTCTCTGAGTTGCATTACATTTCTCAGTTTGATATCTTTTTTTTCTCTCTATCACCTTCCCTCTGTAAATTTCATTAGCTGACGTTTACTAGCCTTACGTTTGCCAGCCTTACATTTACTTGCAAATTCCATCCCTAGCCCAGCCCAGCCCACTTTTTGGGTTGTACCCACCACAAACGTCTATAACCTCTGGCTGGAGTAGCTCTCTCGCTACATTTCCTCCTGCCTCAGCAGTCCGCCTGCTGTATTGTTTCACCTGAAGACGATGGCTTGTGTTGCTATCGAAACGTCGTAATCTATATCAGCTATTTTTATATCTACGTGACTTTACCGAAAGAACCAAAGAGTAGTAGTAAACCCCAATGATCCGATCGAAATTATGGATTTTGATCAGATCTTTGGGGGGGGCACGTGCCACCCCCCCCCCTCCCCCCACTGGCTCTCCCAGTGGCAGCATCACATTGTTTAAAAATTGTCCTGGAAAAAAAATGTCCCTTGAAGATAATGCTACTTGTGATATCATTTCAGTCAGTGTCTTTGTCCATACCTGGGAAATATAATGTATAAGCCCTGAAAAATGTGCCAATTGTATGTTTTAAAAATCAGCCCTTTGATAGATCCTACCTTGGGTGAAGGTGCCCCCCACACCAAGTCATGCATGGGGGCTGTTAAACCATATATTACGCTGGTCAGTACCGGTTGGTTAAAGGGTAGGGACTGGGACCAAGATCCGTACGGAAGTTCCTGCCCATTGATGGTAGCCGTGGTGAGGAATTGAACCGAGGTCACAGAGTCCATAGTGCAGTGGCCCAAGCATGTTGACAAGGAGACTTCATGTAATAGTGAGGTGAGTAAAATAAACTGCATTATTTGTTCTAAGCTCTTGATAATTATGCTGTGCAACGTACAGCACTAAAGTTCCATTCACTCCTGGGTTTCTTCGGGCAGCTAATATCATTCCAGTGCATTGCGCTGACAAAAGGAGGTTCTCAAGTGTAACAAGTTGATGTCAGCCCAGTCAGCAATGACAGTCCAAAACAATAATAAATTTCTGTGTTTGCACTTAATTTTCTTATTTTCAGCTCTGATGATGCAAAAACTTGTTGTGATTTGTGTCTTTATTGGAAACTTGGGAACTGCTGTATGGAAAATATACATATAGCTAAAGAAATAAGAGAACCAGGAGATAACCATATTTAGACCCAGCTTCCATTCAATTTCGCATGCTTGAGAATCACTTGCAAGAAAAATAACATTCGGGTGAAAATTAAGGAAAGTTCTGTCAATTTGTGGTTTTACGGAGCAAAGAAAAATATCTTCAAAGCAGGGATTACAGCTTTTAAATATTGATACACTAAGTGTTTTACACTTTAAGGGACCATGTAAAGAATGATTTTTTTCTGCTCACATTTATTCCCAAATAGGGGAGGCTCCTATATAAAATACGTATAGTTTTGTAGGACTTGGACAGTGATCATCCGATGCAGTGACTGACTCCACCCCATGGGAATGCCATATTTCCACCACTAGCTTAGGGGCTGCAAATCTACACGAGCTGCCACCTCATTGCACATTTTTTCACGAAGACACTAACTTCATGCATATAGTTTACAAACATGTTTTAGCATTCCAAAACTATTATAAAAATATTGGATAGAGTAAGTTTGAACTCGACTGTATAAAAATGTTGTGCCACCTAAGAGCTACACGAGCAGGCCCCTTCCTGCCTGAAATGCAATTCTCTCCTGTGTTCTGCACATGGCTAGGCAAGCATCAGCCCTTTGGGAGCTGAAAGGCTTAGGCTCATGGCTAACAGCAGTACATGCTCTTTGCCATCTAATAATAACACTTTAAAAAGCTGCGTTGGAGCATGCCTCTGGTGAAATTAATAGCATTCACAAGATAATGAAATACATTTATTTTGACAAAATCTTACAAAGCTTGGAAAAGTTGCTGAAAATACGTACAAAATATATCTTGTCTACTGGAGCACTATACTGAATTTTCCGTAATCATACCTGGATATGTATTGCTCTTTGCCTGGCCTGCTCAATGCATAAAAAGAGAGCTACGATAGTAGGCTGGCCAGGTACACCTGGGGCATTTCCCCCACTGATATTGTACTATATGGCACTTAGTTGGTCAGCTTGACTCTTAGCATCATCATGGAAAGTGCTTTTCCTCTCCATCACCATCAGCCTCACCTCTTATACAATAAAAGTTCCCACATGTGTACACTACCACCCAGATGTTGTGATGCTGGTGGAACAAAAATAATCTATCTGTTTCTGTGAATATGGTGTAGCATTATGCTAGACAAGTAGACATAACTCGCACGACCAGTCTGAACGCGGTGTGCATGATGACATGGTTGGTGTAGTTCACTGCCCTGAGAATACACCAGCATTCCGAGGAGGGTTGCACCGTTCAAAACAGAATTCCTACATCTGCTGGAACTGGATCAGTCTTGTCGAGATCTTGGTATTGTAGTGTCGTAGATCTGCTTCTGCAACTCAAGGTCATTGAAACATATCAAATAGCTGTCGACTACTCTGAAGATTGTGTTGACGCCATAGGGCGGCCCTAGCAGAGAGAGACCAATGCGAATTGTGCTTTCGACATTGGTGAGGGTGGTGGTGGTGACTTGTGGGGAATGAGTATATACAACCTTTAGTGATAGAAAAAACTACTATATCGAAATGTAGACTCGGGTAAATGTGTACTCGTGAAATATACAGCAAATTCAATATTAAAATATATAATACTCATACTTCAGTAGCACACGCTTCTCTGTGGTCTGTTTTTTTGTGTGTAAGGTACAAAGGACGATATACAAATCCTGTCATTTGACAGAGCAATACTATACCTTGGTTATTAATGTCCCAATACTAATCCTCGTCAGGAAGAACTCCTATTGTCATCTCAACAAACCACTCAATCTTATCATGCACCGCAGAGATGTGCTTACCTGGAAAGTGATTCTTAAACTATGGAAACACATAGATCTAAGTATGGGTTTCCCAACTTAGAAATGATTTATCTCTAGATTCTTCTGGTTTTATAAATGAGTTAAAAATTTCTCAATTTATCTTAGCTGTTACACAATTTTTTTAAACGCCTTCAAAAACTGAGTTATTGCAATTAAATTTGATTATTGTTTTATGTAATAAGGTTTTTGAATTTAATTCATGCTTAGATTCCAAGTCCCCACAATGGCATGTCACACATCCCACACTGTTTCCTCCTACCACCCCACCTCTCTTGCCTTCCCATGGTTATAACTTATTTTTTTCAAATAGCTTAACTTGTGACCTTTTTTCTGCACTTGAGATATATAAATACAAACTCCTGTAATTGTCCACGACTATCTGTTTGATCTTACAAAAAATTTTGAACACTTTTTTATGAACTTTTAACTGGACTTTCCCCGTTTCCTTTGCTGCAAGTCTTATTTGTCAGTGCATCAACTTTGTCACCCATCTTAATATTGTTAATTGAAATAGCTCACATGCAACAAATCTGATCATTCCTGACTACAAATGAATTCAAATGTGTTTGTCACCCTTTACTGCTGGATCACATGTGGTCTAGCAGACACCAGATTTCACGAAAGAAGATGGGCTCTTGGAGGATGATGAGGAAGATGAGGATGACTCAGGCCGTCTGCGATTCAAGACGGAGCGCAAGGAAGGCTCGGTCATTCGTTCTTTGATCAGCACCTCGCGTACCAACAGAGAGATTCCTGACACACTGGGTGAGTCAGACCCTGACCAAAAGAGCTCTCGTCAAAAGCTGGTAGATTATTGTAAAATGCTACCCACAAAACTGAGTATTATTTTACATGATTATCAGAGCAATGTTGTTCCATGGCAATGCATCCGTGTAAAAAACTTGGTTTCTGTAAATGAAAACCTGCCGATTCGCCTCAGAAAATCCAGCTTCCATCTTAAGGATTGTAGGGTTTTCAATAAAGGGAATTCAAATTCCTCCTCATGCTCACAAACATGCACATCATCTTCCTCCATGGACCAATTAGCGATGTAGCAGGGGTGATAGGGTGGCACCCACCTAATATTGCGGGTAAAATAATTCCCTCTGGCTTTGACTTCAATGGAAGACCGAAGGGTGATTGTCCTGAAAAGCATGTGGCTGACACTTTACAAATATTCCCTCCAAAACTTCACATTTGTGTGGGGACAGCCTGCGCTAGTCAACCTATGTATGTACATAAAGCAACCATTTTATTTTTGAGCTGCATCTTTAACTATTCAGTCCCAACAATTCACTGTTTATGTTCCAGTATTAAATGTCAGAATAATTTGGAGCACTATGAATGTAATGATTTAATTAAGAGCGTAGTGGGTACAGAGCTTCCCGCTGATCTGCAAGGCGTGTTCTTGAAGTCTAAACGGTCATTCAGGTGTTGGTGAATGCTGATTTTCGTCCACTGTTTGGCAAAAGCATACCAGTGTCAACGTTACCACAATTGGGAAAATGATCCATGATGTGTTTTGGCTTTATCATCAAGAATTGAATTGGCCCAAAACATTTTCTATTTGCTCAAGTGATTATTGGGTGTTGCTTGGTAGCTCTGACTGATCCAGTGATATAAAGTCCACATTCGTACAATGGAGGCAAATATAGTTGGACAACCACGGTTGACTTCTCACAAGCTCGGAAAGGCTGATGAGCTTAGTAGACTTCCAACCAGATTTTTTTACTTGGAATCTTTTGATTGTGATTTGAATTCTATAACCATAGTTTTCTGGCTGGAGATCATCAGTTCTCTGGTTGGAGATAATTTTGTAGAATGTATAAAACCAGATTGTATTGTATCATATGCACAACATCTCCCACCTTCTGCAGAACTCTCCGACGAAATGAAGCAGCAGCTGCAAGAATTTGAGGATAAGGAGATGCAGCGCAAGCAGCAGCACTGGCGAGGCAGGGGCCGGGCCCGGGGCCAGCAGGCGGTGGGCATGGGCTGGGGTCCACAGGGCAGAGGCATGGACCACCCTATGTTCCAGCACCACCAGCACAACCACATGCAGCACTTCATGATGGGATCAAGAGGTCCACAATTCAGATTCCAGGTAAATGTACACATGCCGTTTCTAATTAACTGATTGAAATATTCACAACGTGTTCATTTTATGTGTTGAGTTTTGTTAAACATAACAATCATTATGTTTTGCAATTTTTTATTTACATACATAGATGAACCTTATGGCGGGACCCCGGGGTCCCGAATAAACGGAAGTCAAAATCTTAATTAATTTATTTTTGGCGTCTCCGTCCCACCGCGCACATTAACGCAGCGACCCACCTGGCGCAGATCATTCTATTGTCATGTAGCCCAAACGCAGCGAGGACGAATGCGCAGAAGAGCTGAACAAGCGAATGCACTCCACACTCGGGTATGGGCAGGATCATAAGTCTTATCCAAATCTGCTCAAACTGCCTACATGACTTAAGTCCTTTATTTGTCATAATGGTATGCATAATACAGTGAAACTGCTCTCTTATCTTCATTATTATTTGTGACTTACCAATGTCTGCAGCCAGGATCAATCTATGACAATCCTATTAGTTGCAGATATTTAACAGATGAGATGCGTTGCACCGTTAATTCCACCTGTTTGATAATGTCTCCTGTCCGTATGCATCTGTGCAGATAGTTTTTTTTGCAGTTAAAGCCATAGTCCCCACATACCGCTCGTATCAATGTGGATAAGAGGAGCGGCGACCCACTACTCTGTAGAGTAACATTGGTATAAACGCTTGTTACAATATGAACAGCGCATTGAAAACGCGTACAATTTTACGTACTGTCTACAAAGTGTGCTCACAAATCCACACTTAGAAACACGATGATTGACAGAGGGGTGTAAATATTTTTTTCGATAGTATAATTAAATAGAGGTACTGCAGGTAAGTAGTTTTCAGTTTTTAAAGGCATAGTTTAACAAGACAACACCTGCCACCATCCTTCAAACCCATTGGTTGAAAAAGAGCAAAGTTTCTTGTTTACATACTCTTTGGTTCTTTCGGTAAAGTCACGTGGGTAGAACACACAATAGATCACGACGTTTAGATCGCAACACAAGCAATCGTCATCAGGTGGGACAACCACAGCAAGAAAACACTGCTGAAGTAGGCGAGCGATCTGCCATGGCACGAGGTTATATAGTAGGCCTCGGCAGTAGGGGGGGAGAGAGAAGGGGCGGAGGAAGGAGGCGGGGCAGAAAGTGGACCCCGCAGTACCACCCAGGTCACTGGAGTAAAGTGGACCGGCCACTGCAGCAGCACTGGCAAGGTTGACTGCAGGGGGGAGAGAGAAGGGGGGGGGGAGCAGGGCAGCACAGAGAGAGACACACACACAGAGTCGGAAATAATAGCTGACATGGGCAGGTAGGATGGAGACCTCACAGTCAGTGAAGACTTTACCTGGTTAATAACGTCCTTCCAATGATTGCTCAGTTTGTACCCGTCTTCTCGGTTGAAGTTTTGCCTGTGTTTCTATATCTGGATGGCTTCATGAACAAATCTCTGATAATAGCCGGTGTTTACATTATAATATATAAGGTTCAGATGTAAACTGGGGTGCACAATTAATTAGAATCGGTTCTTTTTTACACAAAATTAGACAGTTTCGCTTGATTCTGGCTTTTAAAATGTAAGTTTGGTTCTACTTTTCAATGACACTACATTAATATATAAGCTACATCACTTGCATATGAACTTGATATGAACTTTATACCAGCGACTGTAATGGGGGAATAGGAGGTAATTCAGATGCACCCACATGTTTGGGGCAGGAGGTTCCTGCAGGGGCAGTACATTAAGTAGGCTTTTGACCTATCATTGGTGAGTATGAATGGGTTTCTTCTGCTCACCTGGTTATTCTACCAAAATTATTATATTCAAACGTAATTGACCAAACATCCTCAGCATTACTCTACTGTGTTTTGAGATCCAGCGAAGCAGTTTTCGGTAAAATATTATCTATTAATGATATTACGTTGCAAAATAACGCTGAATATATTTGTTTTTGTATTTGCAAAGTAGTTTACGTGCTTTTATGTTACCTAAATCATCCTTGTCTTCAAATTTACACAAATATTCTGTTATACTCTGTGGCACCAGTGATGATGACAAAAAGGGTCATCAGCCATTATCTTTCCACTGCTGAATGAACCCTTCCTTGCACAATATATTTCACTCCTGTGCATGAGCTGGTCTCATGGCTCTGCCTTGGTTTTTATCTTCTTGGGCGTGTTCCCTCCATTGACTTGCCATTCTGTCTCCAATTGTGTCCATTGCAAACACCCCGCTTCTCATGATGGCGACCTGCCCAAGCCCACTGACTTGAGCCACCAAAGCGTCTCATGAATTAGCATTTCTTCTCTGATCCATGTGTTCCTTTTTCTGTTTCCTTAAAGTAAAGGTTAAAGGTGGACAAATGTGTTGGTGTTCCAACTGATTCCAGTGTCCATTGCTGATCATAACATATTGTGGTTATTAGCACTTTCCTGACAGGCTTTTAAGCCTTGAAGGAGGACCTTTGTCTCTTCTCTATATGAGAGCGACCTTCATAGTGTCCCACTAGATTGAGTATCCTGTAGTTCTTAACAATATGTCATGTTGCTATTACAAAGACTCATTGACGGAGAATCTGGACTTGACCTCGGCTCGCTAGAATGTTGCGGCAATGTATTGAATTATTTTTGCTTTCTAATTTGTATTAAAATATGTCCAATTTATACATTTAGGAATGAGTTTTGCAACTGAATTTTTATACATAATTGTGCACATTGCACTGAAAGACATTTTCGGTAGGTAGATCACGGTCAATTTCCTACACTGATGCTGATTACTCAACGTAGCCAATCTATATAAATAAAGACCTTAATCTGTATGTCTCAAAAACCTCTAAGGTACTTTCCACAAGGTAGAAAGCTGACATTTGGTACATGGGTAGCTTTTAGGACACAACAGGAAAAAAAACCACAGGAAAATCCGACATTTGTAATTTTGAGACCCCCCCCCAAATCTCGATTTTAAGTGCCCCATTCAGATACTGTTCAAAATATAAGATTGCGGTATTTTCCTTTGATAGAGCAAATACAATTTAAGCGAGAACCATTCTATATTTTATTGTTTTTGACATTTTGGATTAAAGTGGTTTTCAAATCTCAATTCGAAAATGGTAAAAGATAGGAGCTTCCCCTCAGAGTATTAAGTTCATACATTTTTGTTCTTTCTAATAAAACATTTACGGAATCTTTAAATTGAGCGTTTTCCTATGGGGGTACGTCTTCAAATTTAAGAAGTTGAATCAAGTAATCAACAATTTAGTTTTTTTTTTCAGAAAATTGTTTGGAGAAGTTAATTTCTGATCATAGAAAAAATTTGTCAGAAATCATCAGGTAAATTATATTTATTGAAAACTTTTGCCTGGCGAAGACAGGCTTCATGAACTGGTACATTATAATTCGAAAGAACATGGATCATTTTTGAGCATTCCATGCACCTCGTGGTATTTATAGTTGCCCTATGTTTTGTGAGACTTCAAACTCTCTTCTATAATTTTCAAGTGGACGACCTTTTCAAATTATTGGAAATCACAGGTAAAAGTTTAGTTCCATTTGTACGTTTGCAGCATCTATGCGGCCTTAAAATCACTATTTAGTGGCATACTGTAAATAATGATGCATAATGGTACAATGATACATTTCATTCAATTTAAATTAATATTTCTCACCTTGTGGAGCCTACAACACAATGTTGTAAATTATATAAACAACATGCACAATCTCGAACACATGCAAAATGGAGAAGCTGTGGTGGCTTAGTGTTGACATTAATTATTTACATATGGCTACATTGGACACAAATCAGAGCAATATGCGTGCATGCAGGTATACAGATTACATCACTGCATAGTGATGTGTATGAGGATGTCCAGTATTGGTCATCACCAATGCACTGCTCCCAATGTTATTTTTATGCACTAAATTACCTTTCTGTGTGCTACGATATTCCCTCCTGCCCCATAGGGGGGTGGACTGATGAACCACCCAATGCCATTTTTCGGGAGAGGTGGCGGCATGGGATTCATGTTTGGAGGCGGCCGCGCAGACATGGGCATGGGCGGCCCTCACTTCCACCAGCAGCAACAGCAGGGCCTCCGCTCACAGGTCCCTCACTTTCATGAGCCCCGTGGAGGGGGCCCCATTCATCCTCGCCAAGAGGGGCCTCGCCAGGGAGGCCCACACCACGAGGGTCCCCGTGCCGAACCCTATGGGCAAGCGCCTCCCCGGCAGGAGCCTCCACGGCAAGAGGCTCCACGCCAAGCAACCCACCGGCAGGAACCGCCCAGGCAAGAGGCTCCCAGACAAGAAACCCCCAAACAAGGGACCCCCAAACAAGATTCTCTCCGGCAACCCATCCGTCCAGAGCTGCCCCGCATGGAGGTCCCACGCAAGGAGACCCCTCGGCCAGCGGCTCCCCAGCCAGCAGGTCCCCGGCCAGCGGCTCCACAGCCAGCAGGTCCCCGGCCTGCGACTCCACAGCAGGCAGGTCCCCGGCCTGCGACTCCACAGCAGGCAGGTCCCTGGCCTGCCGGTCCACGCGCTGCGGCTCCACAAGCTGTGGCGCCTCGCACTGTGGTTCCTCGTCCGGTGTCTTCCCAGCAAGCCGCTCCATGCCAAACGGCTCCACGCCAAGCGCCACCGCACCAGGAGGCTGCCTGTCAGATGGCTCCGCACTCGGTGGTCGCTTGCCAGGAATCCCCCTGCAAGGAACCACCCCGCAGCGAAGTGCCCCGTCCAGCTGTGCCCAGTGTGGTGGCGGTGCCCAGGCACGAGCCACCTCGGCACGAGCTGCCTCCCAGGCAGGAGGCTCCTCGGCTGGAGGTGCGTCAGCCTCACTCCCCAACACCCATCCAGCAACAGCAGCAGCACTCGAAGAAGATCCACATCAATCCACACTTCCGTGGCCCCACATCCACTGCGTCGCCTCCAATAGGTAACGCATCCAACTGGTGGCCTGGGCACCTCATCATTGGGCATGTAATGAGTCACCCGTTACTCTTTGATGCGATATATTGTCATGATCCTGGGTCATGGTTTGATTCAAGAAGGAATACTTTTTTGCTTTATTTGTGCTGTGTTTTTGATGCTGGCTTGCGTGCCTGTGTGCTCTGTCTTGTGTAAACAGTCTCGTTCGTTCTCCTTATTTTTACCATCTTGTCTGTCCTATCTTTCTCTTACGCTGTCGTTTTTGTGCTTTCTCATGCATTTTATATAATTTGTAGTATCTCCTTTAAACTCAATGGACATTGCCGATTTACTACTATTTTGTACAAATCATACAAACGGGGATTTTCAACTCGTTCCTGTCCATTTGCTAGTCACGCGCTCCATCCACTATGATACTTGAAGAAACCTACTCAAATTGCATACGAGTAATTATCTCTTGCATGTGTATGAATATTTGCTTTGCTTATAAGTTTGTTTCTACGACTAAATCTTGGTGTTTTGTGAAGAGCAAAATATATATTTAGACCAATTACTGACTGGTCACCTTGTATAATAAATGTGACCAGTTTGTGAAATGCAGTTGGTTTAAAATTGTGACCTTTGTAAATTACATACATTTATTGGAAATGTATTGCTTAGCTCTGGATAGTAAGACGTGAGTTACTTTATTGTACTGCTTATTTGATATATAATTTTATACCTCAGAAGTAACCATTTAAAAATACAAATTACAAAGGAGATGGATGAGTGGAAGTATTGGGCACACAATTACCTTGTAAAGAACAAATGCATATTTGGTAATTGAAATCAAGTCTTGGGCAAATTAAATGTTCCCTATCCCATGAAGGTGAATCACCCATCTGTGAAGTGGGAGGTCTGGTATGCAGGGCGGCTGAGGCCCCATTCTACCGCTCATGATGGATAGGGGCACAGGGGACAGATGTTAGTGACCCAGCAAGGGGTCTGCCTTTGTGCCAGATAGTGAGAGCTGGCCCAATTGTCATCAAATTTGGGACACTGTGTGAGGTCCTAAATTTAATTTTGAGGACGCATGTGAAAATAAATGCTGCAATGACTGTTGCTCATTCAGGAAGGATGGCTAAATAGTGCCTGCTGTCCTGACGTTGGTTTCTAATCTTTGCGTATAGCTGCTCTTGTGAATTGTATATGAACAATTGATAAACATGTCTACCTGCATTGTTTTATATTTTGTCTTTGTGTTTTACCGCAGTGCCATTACCAGTGATGTCAACGCCAAACCAACCTGGAATCAGTCCGGCTCCTCAACACTTTCCAGTAAGATATCCAGTACAACACGAATTTACTACAGTCTCACTGGGTTTCCAATTAATTTGGAGAATTTTATACAATTATGCCAACACTACACTTTTATCCTCTTTATATTATTCGATGTATCCTATATGCATTTATAAAACAAAAATTAAGTATATGTGCTTATGTCCTGGTTGTGAGTGGGTTAACATTTTTAAAGGTGATGTATTTTTGCGAACTGTAATAGCTCTTATTTGACCTGAAAAGCCCTTTGTAAACAGTTGTTTGTATACATTTTGCTGTTTAGTCGTATACAATACTTATAACGTTTTATATCATAGAAAAGTGTGTAATTTTTTCTGCTGACTCATTTCAATTAACACACATTGTATGTGTGTATGTTGAACTTCTTTCGCACCGCATGCAGCCGACCGTGCTAATCATCTTAGTTGATGGTATCAATGCCACATTCTTATGGTGGGAGCCAGTCTGTAGGACAGCCACTGTGGACATGTGTATATACTCGTACAAATTTTTTCGCTGTGCATGTGCGGTCATTTTTTTATATTCTCCTGTGAAGCACAGAGGCTAATTATTTAGAGAAAAAAATTCACTGGAAATCGACGTATGCTAAAGTGGAACGATGTACAGATTCTGCATTTGCTCAACTGTGGTTGTGGACACGATGGCTAATTTTAGCTCTGCCCCTAGCCTCATGTCACCTTTGCACAAAGGACACAACTCCGGGCTAATTAAAATTCATACGGCAAGGAGGACACAGGTTTATTTGCGTTCAGGTTAAGCAGGGATGAGCAAAAATGTACCAAGTTTACTGTAATGCCTCGAATATGGGGGTCATGGTTTTCCCTGAAAAGGTAGAGTAGGTATTCCCGTTCTTTTAGCCATTTTTAATGCATTGAAGAAAATGTATGTTCTGCTAAACCCGGACCATAAAACCCATTACACATGTCATGCTATACATCAGTTAAGATTGGCTGGCTTTGATTCACTTTTGCATAATGGTGTCCTTCGACAGCAGCGCTGAGCCTCACAATGTGGCGTGCGCAAGATGAATGGCTCTGGTGAGCGCTATCGGAGTGGTCATTATGAGCACTCATTTGTCAGTGTCTGTGTGCGGAGGGCCCAGCTAGCGCTCGCAGCCCCACCAAGTGATTTGTGTCTGGTAGTTAGGCAAGTCGCCTCTACATTATGGCGCGTGTGGACGGGAGTGGGCCCACTTCATCAATCTGTATAATCAGGGCTCCATTACCCTGGCCCCACAAGCACGGAAGCGCATCGCCTAATCAGAATTGAGCGGCGTTATTATGAGCTTGTCTGCGCCGCTGTATGTGGATAAATTGTTTGATTAGGCTGATTTGTATGGGTAAATGAACAGTCATATCATAGCAAACCGCAATTACTTTCCCCTTTTTACTTTACCCGCAAGATGACGGCACGCTCGCCAGATCTGCCTGGGTTCGGCTATTTCTCCCTAGCTGCCCAGGATTTGCATTTTAATGGAGGTGTCGAAAAGCACTCGGCTGCAGCCCTCTCCGTCATTCCACCGTTCAAGCTGGATTAATAGCGATAACATCAAAACAATTAGCCTGGCTCTGTACGTTATGAGGCAATTTGTAGTATGGTGGGTCAGCTGAATGGCAGCTACGGCTCTGTAGCCAGTGGGCTAAGAGGATTAAGGGTAATGAGAAGGATAAGACTGGGATTTTGAAAGATGGGTCCACCATTGAGTTGAAGAGGTATTGGATTTGGATTTCTAAACACCTCATTCCTTGCTGGCAGTGCTGTGTTGAGGAAAGAATTTATCTCTAGCTGCCTGAGATGTGCAAGACAATATCTTTCATCCTCACCATTTATGAGCTCAACCTTTTGACTGTTCCACTTTAAAACCCATCTTAAAACTAAGCTAGTTACAAATGAAGGACAGATAGCAGATAAAGAAGGGAGGAGGGGGTGGTGTTTGGGTGACTGGGGATTTTGGCCAACAGACTTCGCTCCGGTTTCCGCTGTTTGTAATTCCAGCCTCCGCAGCAACCACCACCACCACCCCAAGGCCAGCAGCAGCAGCAGCAGCCTCCGCCACCCATGCCACAGAGACCCCCAGTATTTGATGGGAGGCCTGGACCCACTGGCCCTGAGCAGTGGGGCCCCCCCAGGACTGTGGGCCATGATGACTTCTTCAATAGAGGTACAATAAGCTGCTGTCAGTGTGCACAACTTGTGTATATTTTTTTCTTTATGAAGTCTTAAGCGAATTGTCTCACGGTTCAAATAGGTATTTGAGGGTACTGTTCCCCATGGTGAAATTGTAGCGCCATGGATGGGCTGCACTTGCAGGCAATGACAGGGCAGCCCTGAAGCAGTTGGGGGGCTGCGAGGGATTCTATGATCCCTCACAAACACTCCCAAAGGCTGGGGGGCTGCGACTGCACTGACCTGCAACGGCAGACATGCGGACCTCAGTGGGGTCACCCACGTCCCTCACTGTGGTCCGCACCTCGGCTGAGAAACGGATTTAAGGCGAACCTCTGGAGAGGTCCAGGGAGTTTAAAAACCGAAGCAGTTGGAGACGGAAACAGTTGGAAACCGGAGCAGTTGAAGATAACCAGTTGAAGAAGGAAGACCTGCTAGAGTAGGACTCTGAACCCCTAGCTTCGCTGTCCTTTTAAGGGCCGAAGCTCTGTGAGGTCAGTGTTGGACCTGTACCTTGGCTGGGTCAGGTCAGGTAGTCTCACATAGTATATTATAGCCGGAGGACCTGGAGCGTAGTCGTGTTAGGCACGCTACACAGGAGGCATATAATATACCAAGTGGAAGAGCTCCTCAAGATCAACTGTATGAAGAATTGATGTATAGTGGTTAGGGTATGTGTGGATAATAAAGACGTTGCCCCCCTTACGAAGTGTCTCCGGAGCAACACTACATTGGTGTCAGAATTGTCTACGAATTCTCAAGGATAGCTACTGTTAACCTACCGCAACATTTTGATTTAAAGCTTTCGTGACTGCAGGGATTCATATTCTTGGTTCTTTCGGTAAAGTCACGTAGAAGGGAAACAATACAATAATACAAATATAAAACAATAAAATTCTCACGACGTTTTGACTGCAACACAAGCAATCATCATCAGTTGTGAAAACCACAGCAAGAAAAAATTGAAAAACCGCCACTTTTTTCAATTTTTTCTTGCTGTGGTTTTCACACCTGATGATGATTGCTTGTGTTGCAGTCGAAACGTCGTGAGAATTTTATTTTTTTATATTTTTATTATTTTATTGTTTCCCTTCTACGTGACTTTACCGAAAGAACCAAGAATACCACAACATTGTTGACTGAAGTCAAAGTTTACCATGCTCTTTTGAGCATTGCTATTTAGTGTTCATGACAATGGGTCATGGGTAAGCGAAAAAAATTCGTCGTTCCTGGGAAGGGTACTGCTGACTTCTCCCAAAGTGGCTATCACCAGGAGGTGTTCGTTTTACCCACTGGAGGGATTATGGCATTTGAACTTAAGACCTGATTATGAGGACATTGCTTTATGACTTGGCTATTTCAAGCATTTTAACAGTAAAACTATCAAGCTTGAAGTTTATTTGGCTTAATTTGCAAATTTAAAAAAGTATTTCACCAATGCCCTATTTGGCATTCAATAGCCTTTTGTAATTTTTTTTAACTGAAGTGAACGTAATAATATTTCACGAATTAAAACGTTGTCGTACACATCCCATGTCACTCCCTCCCCCACTCTCAGAGCACCGTTTCCCAGGGGAAGGAGGGTTCGAGCACTATGACCCTGGTCATCATCAACAGTTCCCCGGACAGCCGCCTGCTCCTCCGGCCCCAATGGGCTTCAACCCCAACCCACAGCAGCCATTGGCTTTTAGTAATAATGGCCCACGACCAGGCCTTTCTGCTCAGTCCATGTTCATGAGGGATGGGCCAAGTGGCCTGGGTGGGCCCAGTGCACCAGGTGGTCCAGGTGCAGGGCTGGCAGGGCCCATTGGAGGTCCTGTTGGCCTCGGTGGGGGACCGGGTGGGCCTGGTGGACCTAATGTTGGGCCCAATCATCCCGGTATTGGGCCTGGTGGACCAGGTATTGGACCAGGCGGTCCTGGTATTGGGCCTGGTATTGGGCCTGGTATTGGACCTGGTATTGGACCTGGCATTGGGCATGGTGGGCCTGGTATTGGCCCTGGTGGGCCAGGAGGTGGGCCATGTGGACCAGGTGGTCCTGGGATGTATCAACAGCAGCAACCAGACATGCATGGGCCCCGTCACTTTCCAGGACAGCAAGCCCCCTTTAACCCGCTGTCAAACCAGCCGTTCATTCCCATGCAGGTGTGTTCACTGCACTAATGTCATTATTTTAGCAATATTTTCCTTTGCCTGGGAAAGTCTTTCCAAATAACACTTTCAGGAGGGCTCTGCATTTAAATATTTAATCAGTTTCTTATCTAGTAATTCTGAGTGTGGGAGGAAACTGGAGAGTGCCTTGAAAAAACGCACACCTTGTACAAGAAAATATCAGCCAGACATTTGTACCGATGTCACTAATGTATTTGCTGTAACGTTACCCTTTGGCTACGTCTTAGTTTTGCAGCTTGTGTATCTGATGCACATTTTCTATGTGAACCACAAAGTTCACTGCCAATGCAGAGGATTACTAGCATGTACCACAACACCGAGATAGCGTGCTTTCACGAAGCATATTTTGTTTGGTTAAATTTACATTTTTTGTAAAATTTATTCCTGTGAAAATTGTTACTCTTTAAGCTAAATTTGAATGTGAAGCCTGGCATGTTTGTAAATGCATGTAGAGTTGTGATGATGGTAATGGTGGCTTGGTGTGTAGTGTATTCCACGTTTTTGAATGTATAATTCTTCACGTGCTTGTGTGCAGGCCAACCAGCAGCCAATGAGCTTGCGTTCCATGAATATCAATCTTCAAGGCTTTCAGATGCAGGTGCAGCAGCAGCTGCAACAGCAACTTCAACTGCATCAGAATCAACATCAGCATCAAAACCAACATCAGCAGGCCCCGTTTCGGCCAATCATGCAGTCAAACATGGCACAGCAGCAGCAACAACAACAGCAGCAACAACAACAGCAGCAGCAGCAGCCTCTTTTCCAGCCAAGGAACCAGCACCCACACTCAGTGAGAAATGAAGTCATTCAACATCCTGGGCTGCAAGGCCAGCCAAGATCACAGGGCCAGTTTGGACAACAGGGCCAGTTTGGACAACACAGCCCACATCAACAGCACATGGACCAGAGGCCACCGGACCAGATTTCCATGCAGGGTTTGCACCCTTCTCAGGCAGGGGGGAGACAACAGCCAACACAGGCACCAAACAGGGCCCAGAGACTGCAAGCTCCTGGACAAGCTAAAGTCAGAGCAGTAAGATATATTCTTGTATTTTTTGTCACAAAAAACAAAAACATATGCTTTCAGTATTTGGTAATTTCATAAACGTGGAAACACATTATTTTATACCTACATGACTTCACCGAAAGAACCAGAGAGTATGGATTCCTGCAGTCACGAAAGCTTCAAATCTAGATTGTACATATTTAGTTGATTTCGATAAACTTAGTAAAGGTATACTTCATGTTTGTGTTTTTTAAATGGTTCAAATAAAACCTGCTTTTATATTTTGTCAACACTGCTGAGAAAGTGTTTGCTCGCTTCACAGGCATTTTCCAAATTGGATCACTTGTAATACAATATGCTGATACATTGCATAATTGTCCTGTCTTTGAATGGAATCACACACCTACTCGGACAAGTACATTTTACAGTGTGCCTTCACTAAAAATAATTCTGGAAAAAACATTACTTCAAAAGAAACCCCCTTGGTTGATATAATATATTATTTCACATTACCTGTTTTTTTAAAATTAACCTCTCTTGTTGACCCTTGCACAGAACCTGCCGAATCAGCAGCAACTGCCCAAGCCACCCCCACCAGCTCCCCGAAACCTGCGTGAGCTGCCCAAGGTCGAGCTGCCCCCAACCCCTACTGCTACCGCCAACACCACCCCCGCCGCCGCTGCCGCCGCCGCCGCTGCTGCTGCAAACGCCGCCAACAGGCAGCAGAGGCTGCTGGGGGCAAGCGGTGTTCGGCACACAAACCAGCCCATACCAACACAGGGCTTGACTGGACGTCTGAAACCTGCTCCAGCCTCCATGCAGCGGGAGCCACAGATGGGCAGGGCGGTCGTAGGTGGAACAGTGCACGCTAAAGTACAGGCGAGCGGGGCACCGATAAACCCTGAACCAGTGACAGAGAAGGGTCAAGGGGCCCAGGTGAGTGTCTTTGCTGGAGCAGTCTGAAGAGAAAGTGTCTACCCATGCAGATGAGCAGTGGGGGGGGGGGGGGATTGCTCTTGTCTCCTGTGGCGAACCAGAGCTAGTGGTGGAAATTTCACATTTCTGTGGCAGGGGTAAGCCTCTTAATAGGATAGCAACTCATTGTTTTTTTTTTTGGTAAAGTCACGTATGTAGAAATACAATAAAATTACATTAAAACAAAACAATCACGACGTTTCGATCACAACACAAGCGATCTTCATCAGGTGTCAAGAACAAATCATGGAGGTAAATACAACAAAAAATATGAGAGACGAGAATTTAACAAACCTAAAAAACATGTGAAGCACAACCAGTCAGGCCAACAACACAGACACTTCCTGGCAGACCACGAATTTCAAAAGAGTGTTAAATTTCGTGTTCAACCTCTGGATTGCACATACCAGTATAGACAGAAGGATATACTTAACACAAATTTGGTAGTAATTTTATCTGTCTTGGAAGGACTATGGGCTGGATTGACTACAAATATTTGGGCTTGCAACCTTATAATTGTGGGTTAAGTGCTCTGACCACAGTGCCACATCTCTAGATATGTTCTGATCTTATAAATATTAAACTATCAAGATGTGTGTCTTTGGATGTGATGTTAGTCATCTTTAATGAGCACTGTCTAATTTGGCATGAATGGTAATCCGATCATTGAATTTGTTAAAACTAGGTTTATTTATTATTTTAATTTGCTTCGCTCCGAGCATTATTTGAAAGACATGTTTGCTTTTGTTACGTGATGTAACTGCTTTCTAAAGTAGCTTATGCAAGCACACAACCACACAAACATACACATTTAGTGTGCAAACATATACGCATTTGTACTCATGTTCTAAAAAGGCGCTCATCACCGTGCTACAGAGCATACATACAAAGCATATCATTGATGTAATTAAACCCCTTGAGGTATTTTGTAAACAATTTCCCCCAAAACTATACAGATGTGGCCATTGGCATTCATAAGGTGTGGTAAGTTTTGTAGTGATTGATTTCGGGATTTTATAGTTTTACTGGAAACATGTTCCCTCCGATGGATGGACAGTCATAATGCATCCCAAGCATAGCAGTAAGTATCCTATCGGCTTCCTTAAAACGTCAAGCCACATGCCGCCATGCAGCTTGATGTTTCCGGTATTTATGAGAAAATCATTATACTTTGATGGACATTTTATCATGTCAGGAATTGGCAAGATATAAAATATTCACCTGAATACCATGGGCAGCGACCATGAGTGACTGAGGGGAGCATATTTTGTCTCACTTAGACAAATCTCGTGTAGTAGATTGCCCTTCTGTCAATGAATACTCATTTAGACACGGTCAGTTGTTGCACACTGTTTATAGATTATGCATTTTTATGTCACACATTTGTGTTCCTGATAAACAAACTGAAGCACGGCAAATATCGGTGACGGACCCTGATTTTGCACACACTGACACCCTCCTTTTAAGCTGGTTTAATTACAGATCAAAGGTGACTAATGAAATTTGATTACAAACTATTGGTTTATTCCTTACACTGGCAAAAAAGCAATAATGGGGAGCTAATGTTCCCGTAGGCTGCCCAGGGCACCGGGCTCATGGAGAACAAATGTAAACCTTAGGAGTCCCTGGGGAAAGAGCTCAGTCTATCCTCCCACTGCTCACAGAACCTGTTTGTGACGGCCGATCGATCCTTTCGTCCGGCGCTAATTGAATTCACAGTTGGTTGGCTCGGTTATAGATTTCTCGATGTTGCCACGTGTTAAGAATGAAGAACGGTGCAAGGCAGCGACATAGTTATTAATCCTGCGTGTGTGTGGTGAGAGTGTGCGAGAGAGAGTGTGAGAGGTTTTGTTTGCTGTTCTAAGTACATTTGAGTGGAGGCCGCTACACAAAATATCTAATTCAGCATTGCCGTACATAGCCATTGAGCCCCAGCATGTATGCTTGCTCGCGTGGGTGTTTTAAGTGCAGTTTGTGTTCCCGGAAATGTGCACCGTGATGCCTCGTGTGCTGGCGGCCAGTGAGCGGGAAGCGGTAGTGACAGCCCTAATGGATATTTATGGTCCTGCACTAACACACAGTGACCCCCTTGGGGGCACCTCCGCGTGCATTCTCACTATCCATTGGTCATCGTGGAACAAAGTCCCTGAGCCACTGAGCATATTTGTGGGGGAAGAGGAGGGATTGATATGAAGACGGATGATCCCGCTGATATGATATTCTGTTTAACAAGGAGGTGGCAGTGCGCCTGCCAGCTGATTAAAGGCCATTATTAAATGACTAATGGCTTTGGTCTGCATGGGAGGTCCTTGTGAAGAGAAAATCGATTGCCTCCCCTCTGGGCCTGTCTAAGGCTTTACACTGCAGTTCTAATGCACTTCAGGGGCAGAGCAGTACGTATTATGCAGTGCAAACTGCTGTTCACATTCAAACAACAAAACTCTACTTATGTACTGTGGTGTGCGTTTAATTGGCCAATAATTGATTTATGAGAAGATAAATATCATTACTTGGAGCAGGTGGTCTTTTTAAATAACTGATTTTAACACTTTTTCATTTGATACATTAAAAGAAAATGTATTGCATGGGTTTATCGTGGTAGGAAAATATACGGAGATGCGGCAATGTTATTTAGCATCGCCATATATTTGGCTGGTGCTCTGGTCAGGGAGCTCTGTTTGTAATTAGAAGCCCACACGTAAAAAAAATTGTCGGGGTTGGTCGATTTTCACGCACAGAGTGGTTGTCCTATGGAGATACTGGCCCCTGCCATAGAAATCTCCATAATTTGCGGTGATGGGCACACCACGCCATGCTTATTTAAGCAGTGAGTCGCTTATTTGAGCAGCGAGTCGCTGATTTTTGTTGTAGATTGTAAAATAAAGACACATCTTAAAGCCCTTTATTCAGACTTCAACAAGTCGTTTAGGAGTGTCATGCATTGGGATTTATTTTCTATTTGAGGGAGAATCTTTGAGTTGCCAGAGAAGTCACATCCAAGGGTCACCTGTCAGCCTTTCCTGCAAAGAGCTGGTTTACATGTGCGCAACACCATACCCAGCATTTAAGTGATTTCTCGTTGTTTAATGCACATTTTATAACTCTATTCAATATTGGTGGAGAGTGGGTAGTTCAAAAGTTAGTGCATAGCTGGGTAAGGTGTTGTCTCAGCCAGGCCATGAGTCACTGCACACAAAAAAAATCACATTTAATTAGATTTTGTAATTTGTGTGCTAAATTCCAGCTCTGAGAATAAAAACATTGCTTGGACCATTGAGCGACAATCTGTGAGAAAGGGCACCTGGAAAAAGTGCACCCGTTACGGGAGAGTCCTGTAACAAAAATATGCTTGTGGGTTCTCTAATGTGCTGGGGCTGCTCTTGAGATTTACGAATGGATTTTTCATCGCATGAAATGACACTGACAGCACAATTGGAATGAATTGTGGGGGGGGGGGGGGGAGACCAAAATGCAATATAATTTAATACCCAGTGAGATAGAATGGAACTAATTGATAAGTTTGCCATCAATGTATTGGATTGTCCTAAGTGCCCCCTGCCGCCTGTGTTTCCAAGTGCCGTAATTACGTGCTCCCTGGGGCTGTATTGTAAGTTAGCGAGTTGGCCATCCATTCCATTAAGTGAGCTTGTTGTATGCCACCAGAACACATTGCACTGCATGATGTGGTGACAGCCACCTGGAATCTTCACTTTAGAGGTGGAATCGGTGGTTCATGCAGATTTGCCTACACATGTGCGCAGTACAGAACCTAAAGGGCTACAAATTGGCCAGAATATCAGTTCATTAGGTAGGTTGCTGGTTTCACTGAGAATTGTTTGAGTGTTATTTCCTTACAGCTTTGGTTTTTACCACTTATTCATTACAAATATGGAATCGGTAGGCTAATTCATTGTCTCTGCACTTTTCTCCATTGGCTGCCCTGATCCAGTATTGTAAATGTCATGTTTTCATGGCAGGGATCAGTCCTCCAAGAGGGTGAAAACTGATGACTGACCACAAGTGGCAGTCATGTTATCAATCCTGGAAGGATAATAGGCCAATATATTTCTTAACCGGGATTTGAACACCAAATTCTAAACCTTCTGATCATGAGATGGATGCGTTGCTGTAGCACCACCTCGTCGAATTTCCACAGAAAATACTCGCAAAAATGTTTTTGACTTGATGTTTTTGACAAGTCATTTGTACAGATCCATGAAGGCTAACCCACCTAACTGTATTTGATGTTAACACTAGTGAGGAATGCAGTTATGCACATGTCAAAATATTATCTATTGGTGTGTTCCTGCTTTCATATGGGGGACTGTTGCCTTAAAATGATGAACACAGTGGATTCTAATTAGGTTTAATTCCTGGCCATGCACATGGTCAGTGGCACTGGCTAATGCTGTGGTCCACCCCTAGGTTAACCCAGCCTGAAATTAGTACCTGCTGTGATACGTTAACATTAGCACTGGGGAGACATAACTCCGAATGTAGTACTGGCCTTAATTGCCCCCTCGTGTAATGTCTCAGGTGGTGCTCACTAACAACACCGCATGTAACAATGTAGCATTTCGTGAATTAAAATTTATTTGTATGCCGACTATACTTGTTTCGAATTGTGCATGTGACAATTGATTATATTCTTATATGTTTTACGTTATTGGTTCACGTCACCCCCCCCCCCATCAGGCCACTGGAGGCATTACATTTACATTGTTTTAAAAAAGAATGCACTCTAATTAAATCGTGACCCAACATTACAACAATCCGTCGATTTGTGACTGCGGTAAATTGTTACATGTCAACTATCAGCACGTGCGATTGCTGTTTGTAAGACCAAATGAGGTTATTTTTATCACGTCTGCTTCTATGCCCAGGATGAGGATGAGGAGATGCGATTGTACCACCTCAAGCTGGAGCAGCAGAAGCGTCTCCGTGAGGAGTTGCTGCGTCGCAAGGAGGCTCGGCGCCACCAGCAGGCGGGCCAGCGCAAGAAAGAGCTCTTGCAGCGCATCAACCAGCAAACTCCCGCACAGCAGTTTCAGCAGCCGCCGCATAACCAGCAACAGCCACCAAATCAACAACTACAGCAGCAGAACCACCCACTAAATCAACAAATGCAACAGCAGCAACACCAACCGCCAAATCAACAACTGCCGCCGCAGCACCAGCAGAACCATCCACAAAACCAGCAGCAGCAGCAGCAGCTGAACAATCAGCTTCGCACACAGCCTGCAGTAGCGCAGCAGAGAAACTCGCAGCCGTTCGCACAGCAGGGGACAGCATCCACTGCCTCGGTCCATCCACAGCAGATGAGCATCAAAAACCGCCTCAACACAGTCAAGCCTAAAGTCCCCGTGGTGGGACAGCTAGGTTACAATCAGGCGGCGGCCACCGCCGAAGCCACCCGCAGGAACGTGTCCATCATGCAGCAGCGTAGTCAGGCGGTTGGTGAGGTGGTGCAGCAGTTGCCACCGGGGGGCAGCCCCGTGCCAGGAGGTGGCCTGAGCAGCACTGTGCCGGTGCTGGAGAGGGTCGGAATGAAGCGCACTGTGGTGCAACGGCAGGACAGCGAGGCCGAGAGGCAGCACATGGGAATGGCCAAGGTGCGCGTGGTGACAGAGGACCCTACTATGGTAAGGATACCTTGAGAGTTGGCAATTGTAAGTCGGTCCTTTTATGGCACGTGTTTCAAATGCTCGTGTTTGAACGTATACGGAGCTAAATGACCTTAACCATATCATTGGCATATCCTTCCAAAATGTTTGTGGGTTGTGCGTGCCTGTTCATTCGTGGCCCAGATGATTCTTGTTGAAAGCTCATTTATATGGAGGTGACAAGTCTCCATAAAATATTACTGCCATCTTTCCACATGGTGATACTCGTCTTATACATGCTGGACGTATGGGTGAGCTGACCCACAACTTATATTTTAACTCTCAGTGTTGCAGTTGTAAGTTGTGCACTCTGCCACAGTGCCTTCTGGCAATACAGAATAGAGGGAAGCCAGAATAGATTCACTGGCCTGTAATAGTGTTAAAAAAGTAATAAAATACGGTTTCTTACAAACACTGAGAAATGTGTAGATATTTGACTTTAAAACATTACCATTAGCAGATATTGCGAGTAAATAACCCTTCGAAGAAGAGCCATTACCCATAGTGTTACTACATGTTTTCTGTTGGAAAGCACTGGTTGGTGACAACGATGGTGATATATTGAATTTCATCAGACACTTGCATTTGTAAATTTTACACCGGTTCTCATTCTCATCCATTGCTATCACTCCACATTATTCTCCCTTTTAGCCATCCATCTTGAATCTCATTGTTTATCCACTGTTATATATTTTACACTGCAGTAGATATCATTACTCACATCCTTACACTCAGGCCTTCATCTCAATGGGTTTTCCCTTCCCTCATTCATTGCCCTTATCTTATCGCTGTGGTTCAAAAGATACTCACTGTGTTTGCACCTTATTTTATCCCCATCTCCTGTGTAACTTTTATCCTATATTTCATACGCTCGGTAGCTGTTTGCTATCAAACGTGTTCCTTCATTCAACCAGGTGAGGCCCTGCTGACAAAGTTTTCCTTTTGCAAGGGTAATCTTGTAGGCCTGATAAGAAATGGATGTTTTTGTTCAGTAATTCACTTGTGGCTATTTTTTCTTGTCTTAAAGTACTTGCTAGACCATCACAATTGTCACTGATTTTTCACTTGACTGATCTGCAGAAAATAACTGTCCTTACTCTGGCTGTAGCAGATCATTCTTAATAATATATTAAATATACTTTGATGTAATTTGAGTACTGTACTTAGATGTGTGAGTTTTTCTTCTGGTCCTTGCAGATTTCCCCCCCCCCGTTTGGAAATGTACTTTCATGTCATTGGCTTTATATCCTAAGCAGAACTCAATTGAAAAACAAAATTATACTTCGTGTGGCTTTTATGGATAAAGGTGTCTTCATATTTCCCCCCCCCCCCCCCCCATTCTTTCCCTATTTAAACTGAATCAGGCAATGTCTTGTTTTATATTTTTATTATTTTATTGTTTCCCTTCTACGTGACTTTACTGAAAGAACCAAGAATATGAATCCCTGCAGTCACGAAAGCTTTAAATCAAAATTGAATTAGGCAATGTTCGTAACATCGGCATTCATCTCCCTTTATTGCGCCAAATCATTTGTGGAAATCCACTGTTTGGGTAGAAATGAAATCATTACATAGGCTAGCCACTGTGGGTGCTCCACAAAGTCAAATTAAGGTGAACTAATTTTTCCCAACCCCCAGGGAGAATTACGGATTTGACCACCTGGAGATTTGAACTTACGGCTTTCAATTGGAAGTTGAGCACTAAAACCAATGTGCCACCTGACCAGATAGATTGACAGTAATAATACAGTTACACTCCTCTTACCCCCCTATTATTGATCATGCTACATATTCCACCCTCCCACCAAATCGATTAGTACATGTTCCTGTTATCTACACTTAACCATGGATAAGAGGACTAACCCAGACATGGTGGGACGTTCATTTGAAATTCCACATTTTTGAAGGTGCTGATCAGGTGCACATGCACAACTTCCAGATCCCAATGATTTTTCCGGTGGGGCCCAATTGTCGCTCATCGTGGTTCTGTGGTGTTCTGGTCATCTCTGTAGCTTTGGTGGTCCTGGTGTTCCCCCTCATTTTCCCATTACTATTTGTGGTCTTTTTAATCCCAGTGAAGGCCCCATTGGTCGCGATGGTGTCCCCATGGTGGTCCCCATTGTCCCGGTTTTCTAAGTGATGGTGTTGGTTGTTCTATTGCATCTGGTGGGCCCTGTAGTGGTCTCAGTATTGGTCCAGGTGATAGCCCTATGAGTGGTCCTGGGAGTTCAGATTCTTGTCTCCGATGGTCTCATTGGTGGTCCAGGTAGTTGCATTAGAGGTCCCGGTAGTCCCGACCAGCCAACGGTGGCAACAACGATGACACTCTTTCTACGGTGACATCTCCACCGAGAAGTAGGTGCTATGCAATTTGAAGTTACCTTCAAATGAATCATCTTATCCAAGCTCATGTGCTTAATTACACTAAGAGAAGGGAAATGCGCTATTCAGTGTGGACAATAGGATTGTATCAGCACAGGCATGAGCGGCTTCACTCACTTGCCTATAACATTTAATTAAGTTAATCTACGTTGTATTCAGTACAGCGATTGCGTCATTGGTTTTAGAAATGAGCCCTACATTCCTAATGTTACGTTGAAATGTTTTTCTCTTTTCATGTGCGGCAGCTCATGGAAAACATTTTGTCGGCTGGGTTGCAGCCCACAGCGCAACATCAATACAAGCAGGCACGGGGAATGGCACACGGGACACCCATGCAGCAACGGCGGAACCTCCCGGGCATTGGGCCCATGGGACAGCCCGGCAACAGGGTGAGTTTAGAGTCTCCGCTGTTTCATTGAACATCTAATGACCAACATTGTGCTCGGGGAGGGTTTGTGTACAAATCTTAGTGGTGGTGTCAAAAGTACACTCATGGCTGTCAGTTGTTGCGCAAGACTACCTTTTTCTTGTTTCGCAACATAGTCTGTTGACACATGACCATGTGTGCAACACAGAAAACAAGTATGAGGCCTGATTCACATCATCATTTAGCATTTGAAAGGTGCACTGATTTCTGGCTCTCCCAGTAGAAGGCATTAAGATTGAATGATCCCTTAATCTAATAACATACAATGACTCTAAAATTATTCACTTTCTTATTAAAACTATTTAAGCAAATCATAAAATTATTGTTGGTATTTATTTAAAAAAAAATCTAATTTCATAAAGTTGTGTTTGTTTAACCAAGGCAAATCGTGGACTGTTTTAGAGGTGAATTTTAAGATGGTTTCTCCAGTTCATCATGTAATTATTTTCATGCTGATGCTTATTGTTACCAAATCCTACATTGTCTAATTGTAATCTATACCCCAAAGACTTAGTGATTGATACACACCAAAGCCATTTTGCACAATTAATGTTATGTTGCACAAATGGCAATCTGGTTGTGGTATTGGACCTCTGATTACACGGTTGGCTACTTATGGTGTGAAAGAAGTTCACCATGCATACATATGTGTAGATGCATTTATATCAGGCTGGGTAGCAGTGTGTTTAGATCACTCGACTCACAATCTAATTGATATTCCGGTTGTGTGTCTAATCAGCCTATCATTTCTCTGGTATCTGTGGTGATTGCCACTTTGTGAAGTTATTAGTGGTAATTAAGTTATACAGACCTCTGCCATGGATGGGATTGTTGAATTTTACCTCTGGACTAAAGTGGCCAAATGAGATGAGAACTGCCCCATACTCATTTGATCGGTGAGACACTGATTATTTAGATCCCACCCTGTTAGATGCTGCTGCTTCACTGCCATACAGTGTCCCTGGCTAAATTCCTCAGTTGATTGATGGTCCATCCCACCCTGCAGGGTGTTCTGTCACGGACAGGGGGCTTAATGTGAGAACATGACTCTTCACGGTCCACAGCGTTTTGCATTTCTCAGTGTAATCTTGAAGAGCTGATGCTGATTGTGGTACCAGATACCAACAAGGTTGCTTTGTTGTCATGCCTGCTATCGTGGCAAGCTTTGTGGCATTTTATCTCCGAATTATTACACAATTTATTTCCAAAATCATTTTAAATTTGATGCTCTTTTTTGCCCTTTATGGCGTTGCAGATGGCATTTGTGATTTTATCTGCAACGAGTGCAGCGCTGCTTAGATGTGAGGATATATTTAGTTATTTGTAGCGCTACCTTACACTGCAGTGCTTTTAGTGGTCTTGAGTTAATGGTAGACAGCACAAAATGGCAATTGTTTTACTGACCCGAGGTGGATGGATGATGGGTTGATTCAATTACCAATCGGGATTTGATGGCTCTGCCACAGGGCCCACCAATCCAGATTGTAATCTTGCAAGTAGCATGAATGAAACTGGCTGGGTTCATAAGTGTAGAGTTGGTGGTCTTAGCCTGATTTAAAATGATTGCATAAGAAATCATCATATATTAATTCACATTTAATCAGAAATATTCGAGGTTTGAGGACTAAAGGAATACATCTTGCACTGCATATTCAATTTACTAGAGAAGTTATGCGACATGTCATGGGGTTACTGACACGATGTGGTACCTTGCTTACAGTGAGTTCTGAATGGACATTTCATCACCTTGAGACATGATGCCGATGGCACACTTGGTTTATCATTTTATTATTAAATTAAGTAATTAAATTAAGTAATTAAAGTGGCATAAAAACTTCAAGCAATCATCTGCTGCTATATCAAACAAGTGATTTGGCACTCTACCTCTGGCCTCTGATTTGAAAAAGGTCCATTGTCCGAAATGTCACCTGTTGTATATTTTTAGCTTTTTACAGAAATATTTTTGACTAATGTATTGAGCTTTTTTTAATGTTATTTGCTTGGTAAGCTTTGTTTAAGAGTATCTGGCGTGTCTCATCTTCACAGATGCCCATGGCGATGCGAGGCAAGGGGGGATTTCCCCCTCACATGGCTGGAGGCAGGGGGCAGGCACGAGGAGTTCCGCACCCCCAGAACCTGCGTGTTGTGGAGTGCAGGCCGCAGCCCAGTCGCGTTTCTATCGATGGCCTCTCCATCAACACCTCTGAGGGCCAGCTGAGGGCCATCTTAGGCTCAGTGGGACCCATAGAGGTACGTAGAGGTCCAAGGGTAATGATGACGACACTGGTGAGGATGGGGAGCGCATCATTAATTTCAGTGGGTGATAAGGGTGGTACTTGAAATTAATGTATGTTTTTATTTTTCATTAAGTGATACTTTTCATACTCACAGGTATTACCATGCTGTATTGTGACCTAGTAAGGATGACCTTTATTGCCCATTACTAGATTACATCTCAGTTTTTGAGTGCTGTGATGAAAATGTTTTTTCAGTGCCTCACCAGAAGGTGGTGCCCCACTACCATGGAGTCTCTGAAACTTGTAATCATGCAAACAATTGGGTGCTATTTTATTCCAGTATTGATGCACAGCAATGCAACGGTTGAAATAGTTTTTTTGTGAATTAAAACTTGCCGATTCCCCCGATCACGGTTTTCAGATTTCCCTCTTGTGTGCATTGTGGTGGCACTCATGTTTGTTGGTGTCCCTATGTTTTGGAAATTCTATATTGTCTGGGAAGCAGCATATGAATAACGCTACCCTAAATGGAAAATATATATAAATAGGTGATGGTTTGGGCAATGCCCCTTCATGGCACATAGTTGACCTGAAATGACAAATTTGACATGTTTTCCAGGGCAATGTTATTAACAAATGTGTTGAGATTTGTGTGCTTATGCACCACTGCCAATGCAGTATCACAAAAAAATGCATGAATATTTTCAAGAGATTTTCAGTATATCTCCATAGGATGAAAAATGTTGACTTCTCACAAGTCGAACTCATATTTAATGACCCTGAGGGATGATGGTCCGAGCTTACTCATAGCCAGTATTTGAACTCTCAACTGTGTGATTGTGAGTCCAGCGAAACCATCCAATCGCAAAGCAGAGTTCTATATATAGGATGGAAGATGCAATTATGATGCTGATTTTCTCTTTTCTCCTAGACTTTGGAGATGATGCCACATCACCGACGAGCTGTCGCCACCTTTATTGACCCAGCCCATGCTGTCGACTTCCAGCAGCAATACCACAGGTAAACTATGTGACAAGGATAGAATATTGTATGGATGTATGTGGAACTTATTTTGCACCATATGTATCAAACCGTGCTAATCGGAGGTGTGGAGGAAGGACAACAAACTTAAAAAAAACATATTAGCCAGCCCCACATCTAACTTAAACATCTCTATACATTTTCATCCACTGCATATTTTAACTTGTGTGGCGCTAGATTGTTGTATGTTGAGCTCTACTCAAAATGAATTGGCGCATAGTGCTTTTGGCTACTTTAAAAGTAAGAGGTGAGTTACTTTGAAGAGCTGATGATGCTCCTGTCAGTTGGCCTAATCCTGAACTTCTAAGATTCTGGTTTTGATTCCAGGATGCCACTTGTGCTAAAAAACAGTTTCTCAAGTATAGTGAGTTTATGGTCTCAGCCTTGTCACCAATGATTACAGAAACAACTACACATATTTTTACATAATTTATCCTGACCCAACTAATGCAGATAAAAGTAATAAGAAATACTGTGGAGTTAACACGAGATGAACTTTACAGAGAAAAAAGGAGTACCATATATTCTTGGGTAACAGAGGCTTATCAAAATTTCATATTTTTATGTAGTTGTATTATTTTCCAAAAGGTCCTTGCCTGCTGGTATTGAGAAATCCTGAAAGGATGTGTTGCTGTTTCATAACATCACTGTGTTATCACAATCATGATATTCCACCAAAATAGTGAACACAAGGGTTTGTGAAATGTGAGGTGAAGTCTAAAATATTAACACATTGCCCCATTCCTTGTGGATTCACAGGCACATGGTAGACCTCTCGCACATTAACGTCACGGTGCTGATGGAAGGGTGAACTTTGCCCGCGACTCTTCGCCTCCCTCCAGCGCTCCCGTTGCCCCCACAGCATGCAGCGCTCGTTGGACCGAGACAGAGAACGCCTCCCTCCTCAAGAGAGCCTCCTCCATTCTCCTCCCCGCGTGCACGGCAAAGCACGCTACTCGATGGTAACATGGGTAAAGCCATGTGTCGGCCACAGCGTTCAGATGAACTGACAGCAATGGAGCATGGGCTGTGATTTGTAGCGGACTCGGGATGAGTGACAATTCTCCGTGGCACGACAGATGAGAAGAACGGACAATGTGCCCACCACTGCGGTTACGGCAACTGCATATGTTGTAATTATTTTTGTCGCGGAAGTTATACATTTTATTGCCTTGTGTCGTAAATAAAATCGGGCAACGATTTAGCTTGCAGAGTTGTTATTAGTAGAGTTGTGTTCACGCCTCTGTGCTTATCTTTGTTGTCATTTATTGTAAAATATAGTAGGAAGCAGGTTAGTGGTCTCTTGAGTCACCGTAGAATAATAGGGAGGAACCCAGTTAGATATTTTTACATAGAAAATAAGTGTACTCCTTCCATAGAATTTCAGATCAATCACCAATATAGACATTGGTCTTCATTATATTTTTTAAAGTGAGATGATCACTTAAATCTAAAATAAGACTTGCATTGCAATCCCAGGGCTAACGTTTTGTTTGAATTACCAGGTAGCCTAAATCAGGACAGTTCTTACGATGTTGCCCAAAACACATTTTTGTTATTGTAACATAGCTATTGATTATTTTGGCCCAGAAAGTAAAACGTTGCTTTTAATTCCTCAAAGCCTGCATTTTGCAGTATACAATGAGTTGAAAGCTGTAGTGCAACAAATGGCACAGAACCATGTGAAATGCACATGTATCGGCCTGATGCATTTGTGTGGCAAAACCTCTTAGCAGGATTTTGTTTAATTAACTGAAGCTTTATGCCTTCTTGTTAAACAATATACTTAATACTAATTTGCAGCCTTTGTATTAGTTAATGTAACTATACAATTCAGAGTTCTGCTTTGCGAAATCTTCATGCCATTAGGGAAGCGATTCTTGGCCTGCCTTTAGAAGTCCAGTTGTTGCACTCTGACAATAGCTTGACCGCCACGGATTAAGTCTGCAATTGAAAATTCAAGACTAGTTAGCGAGTGGCCAGACAGATCCTTTTCATTCTTGTCAAGTCTTCTTGAATGTTGTGTTGGTTCTGCTGGTGGCACCTGGCCCTTGTCGACAGGTTCATTCTCACAGGCAGGTGCGTTGGCATTGCCTTTGCAGTAAGGTAAGGCTGATGTGCTGTATTAAATTGAGCAGCAATGTTAGGTTGTCTACATCAGTTGCAGTTTTGTCTTGATGTATCGTTATTAATGATTTTTGCTATTGAGCTGGTCCTGAATGTTTAGTTGAATGGGCACTTTCTTAAGCGGAGGCAATTTTAGCGATTGCGGCTTGAATTATTATATTTTTTATCGCAAGGTGCATATGACGGCGTGCAAACTTATTGTCATGAAGGAAATATTTCCCTTTGGACAAGAATGCAGCTCCTTCACCGAGGGTTCATTTATTTGCTCCAGCAAACACTGCATTGTTAGCGGCTTGAGACTGATATGGAAGTGTTTCCACTGCGTGGAGGTGCAAGGGCACGTCAAGTGTCTCCCTGCCCAAATGAGCAATGGCACGGTGCTCAGTCCTACTGGTGGCCCATAGCCAGTGGTGGAAATTCCACATTCCCATAGTGGAAGCCAAGTCTCTCCATAGGATGATTGTGAGTCTTGCACTGTAGCCATAGCAACCACCTGGCCTGGTAAGGAGTACCTTTAGCCTGGAAAGAAAAAAGTTTACCCAGAGGAGCCAAAGTTGGTGTTTCAAAGTAATTCCTACCTCTGTACACATTTACCTTCTTCACAGGTGGATTATATGATGGAGCACATTGGGAAAAATCACAGTTTTGTCAAATGTATACATTTATGGTAGCTGGGCCTCATTGCACAGGCCAGAGGGTCAGAGTACCACGTTTCGGTAAACTTTAACACAAGATGACATAACATTAAGTTCACATGATTATCAAGGAAGAGGTGGTTCAAGAGGAGCCTTAGCATTGTTAGGATCTTCCCTTCAAGTGCTTTTGAAGTATTATATCACACCATTAATACGGCCAATGAAAAACACACGGTGGCAGGAAATTCCAGTTAAATAACTTCTGTAGATAAACTTACATGACGTCTGAATGTGTCCTGATTAGTTCCTGTTCTTAAAAATAGATATAATTTAATCACTACTTTAACTCCAGCCTTTGTCATAAATAATTGTAAAAAATTGTCTAAGCAACACAGTCAACATAGAATCCGAGCCTGTTGTATGGAAGGGATATGTATTTAGAATCTAGATGGACGCAGTCCCATGTATGCATGGGAATGATTCAAAAGTATCTGTTTCAGGCTCTCCTTTGCATTTTTCCCAGGAGGAAATTATTACCTATGCCTAGCTCAGGTACCGGAGTGCATCTTATGTTTTGCTACAGCTGATCGACAGGACTTCGTAGACGCAGAGTGTTGTAACTTGGGCATATCTTAGAAGGCAGCTGAAATACCATGTCCATGCGGATGCTGGAAAGACTCGAGTATAATTTTGGCTTAAAGATATTTAATCTGTTGCATTACTTCACTGGAAGATAATGTTCATACACAAACTGCCAACACCCATGGCTTGACTTGAGTTCGCATGAGACCAGTGTCACCTTGTTAGGTCGATGTATCTTTATTAGAGATATTTTTGCAGTGGCACTTGCCTTATACATGTAAAGGATATTTACATTGCAGAACACGTACCTAGATAGACGTTAGCATAGGCTTTTTTTCTGTTTGTCCTCTTTATAATCTTGTTATTTTCAATAGGTGCGCATAGCTATCCGAGTTGCGTGCGTATAAGTTAGTGTTATAAAAAAAGATTGTGACCTTGTTGGATTCCTTTAAGTTGTTAATCATAGAATTTTAAAGATTACTTCGATGTTAAGTACTGTTTTCACTAGGATAACCATTTGAGATCTAATGATTTATATGGGAATCATCTTGGTATCACAGCCTACTCAAGAGGCTCTTAAAGCTCTAAAATAGGTATTGACACTTTGCTCATTAAGTTTTGACTTCAGGAAACCCTTTTTGCGTGCAACGGGCAGCTGAATGTGGTTTTAGTTTAACTTTTGGAATTGCACATTGTGTCAGCGTATCTCTATAAAAAGAGGCTAATCATGAACATTGTCACGGATAGAGCAGAAGTATGACAGAGTAACTGTGGATGTGAGTAGCAGCTGAGGTGGGGGCAGGAGCTTGTTTTATTGGTGCGTCACCTGAGTTCAGTGTGCCCTTACAGCAGTACACCGGAGAGCCATGGACAGCACGTTAACTTGCTTTTACAAGATGCTCACAGGAGCCATAGGGACAGGTACTGTTGATTTATTTTGGGATCTTTTCATAGTATACTCAAGAGGCCACTAGTCTGCTTTCCTTGTAGATGCAGGTCGTTCATAGTTTGTCATTCCCCTAATCAAATTTCTTCACAAACCAAGGCTTGGGAGAGAATTTTTTTTATGTGTACTTGCTGTGGAAAACATTAAAACATTAAACGCTGTCATGAGTGACACAGTTAAGGGTGATTTTACGTGTATGTTTTATTTATATGTGATGCTGCACGTAGATATATTTTTTTACATACTTTACCGCAACTTGGAGTGCATTATACAGTATAAGATGTCAACATACCTTGGCATTTACTGCAGGTAATGCCTGATTCGTAAACATGATTTAAAATGACAGTAAGTATACGTGGGACAATCTGAATATCAAACAGCACGAGTGCTCCTTAAAAAAGAGGGTTTGCTTTCAAGACTTGAATATTTTAATTGGCCACATGCTTTCACGAACTTCAGGTTACGTGAAGTTAGCGACACGTCATATTTGCATATGATGCGAAAATAACACTGTCAAAGTGCAGAGTTAACAACGGCTGTGCAGTTTATATTAATACAAAATCCACTTTAGATTGTAGCACTCCATTTGCATAGATACAAGTTTGGCATTTGGCATGTTTCTAAATTCTTAATAACTTTGTATTGTTTTTCATAATATACTCGGATATCACAGGAGAATGGGTATTTCTTCTGCCATGTTGCCATGACCGCATTTGACACAGCTTTTTTAAGTGCGTTCACCGAAACGGTGTGCCATGAAAACAATGGGATTTGTTTGCAACTATTTTTTTGGGTTATATAACACTGAAGTTAATGAGTGATGTTTGTTCCTTCACTGGATTTTTGGACAAGGGGCATCATTTGAACAGATGGAACAGTACCAATGCCACGCATTCCTGGGCCATGATATTTAGGGACCTGCTTTTTGCTGCATCAGCTGTTTTGAGTAGTTGGCATGCATACAGAGGACTTAAATTATGCTGAGAATGGAAGTGTCATTTGCCTAACTGTGCATTGCTATGTTTTACTACTTATAATGTCTTGTAATATTCTGGTGATTTTCTGCACTGCTGGACATTTTGGCACAGGACCTGAAGAATTGTTAATACAATGTATTGTTATTGTTGTAATTCGTTAGGGCTGGGATTTAATGTGTCATTTTTGCAATCAATATCATGAACCTACAGTAGTGTCTCCTTGACATGTACTGCTTACCGACGATCGATTTTGCATCTTCAATAATCCGATTATGCATGTTACATTCGTCAAATTACTTTACGGTCCAAAAATATGCACCCTTTTCATTCTTGATTGCGTCTTGTGCACGTCATTGTCAACTTTTGTGAATTATGGAGCAGGTGGGATGCTCCATAGCCCTATTCTTGCTTACCCCTCTCCATATCAGAGCGAGACTTTCTGTAAATCCATCAGTATACTGTAACGCTATAGGTTGAACATAATCTACATTCCAGGGCATCCGTTTTGTTTATTTGACCTCTCTTCTATCAATACCTGCCCCATATTTTTTTTGTAGAAATATTAATGCAAATTGAAGCCTGATCGATTGTTTTGGGACAATAATCGGAGCATGCCCCTTGTCTGGTTTTTTTCACTGTTTGAAACTGGTTATATGTCACATTTTAAATAGCGACAGTGTTTTAAAAACCTTTCAATAGACACATTTTAAAACAATTTAAGAAGTACATTTGTTGTATGTAAAGTTAAAGTATTAGTTAAAGTGTTAGTGTACTGGATGACTGTCATGTAGTTAATAATGTAATTTTGTCCATATCCAAAAGTTTAATCACTCGGCCTCGTAAGATAGAGCGCAATGCATTTTTGCATGCCGTGGCCCTATCATAAATATGTTCTCTCTCGCTTATTAAGGCTGTCCCGTTCGATATTTAATTAGGAAGTACATTTATGCTTAATTTGCGATTTGATGTGCAGACTACATATTAAACACGCTGGTGTAGTAATCAGTGTGGAGCAACATTACATGGAAACGAATTATTTTCTTACGAAGCAACGTAGTCTTATCTAAAGTGTAAATTGAACGTGCTCACTATGACAGAACTTGAATTCTCGTATGAGCAGAACGAACGTACTCCTGTGCACAAGCACTAAATGAAACCTAATCAGGTGACATCAGACTACTGTATTCACTGGTTTCGTTCGTCAACCTGAGCATTGAATCCCAGCCCTAATTAGTCCTTAGCACTTCAAAGGGATGACTGCAAGGCTGTGTAGATGAGATGCACATCCAATGAACTTGCACGTGTCTAACTACATCGGAATTATAAACTAATTACTCTTAGACTGGAGGATAAGATGCCTCAATTCCTTTATAAATCACATGTATGTGTTGTTGGCTGTGCACCCCTTGATAGAATCCTTTGGTCTCCTTAGACTATTCCTAATCAACAGGCGGTTGTGCTGTACTTTCACTGCTGTTCAGTCTTTATTGGAGAATTACATGTTATCTCTTCAGTTGGTATTTCTCTACACAACTCTTGTCAATTCCCAGTGAAACTTAATACGTGGTCAATTAACTGGAAGGTTTTTTTTTACAATTTCCATTGGAGTCTGTGTCGCTCTGTGTGCAACCTTGGCTATGCTTGCTTGCTTGCAAAGCCACTTAAGACTTGCGGCCTGCCTGTATCCAGTAGGATTCCAATATCCAACACTCGTTAAAACAGTAATATGAATGGGAATTTTGACACGTTGCAATGCTGTTGTTCATAGTTCTAAACAACTGGCTGTTAAGGAGTGGCCTACAACACATACATGCCTTTTGTTGTGACATGTATGTTCATTGTGGTGCCTTGCAGTGCGTTATTACGTTTGGATCTGTACATGTTTATTCCCAATTATTCAGCGTTGTACTTTTAGGATTAAACAGGACCCTTATGCATTTGCAAGGGAAGGATGCACTTTGTTGTTGTATACAAAAACAATGCTATGGAGAATGAGGAACGATTGCATAAGAAATCAAATGTACCAGCAATTTTAATAAGCATTTTTTCGCATGCACAATGGTAACACGGCCAAAACATTGACAGCCCTGTGCTTGCATTCCCAAGCATGGTTTGAATTTCCTCTTATTTGTGCAAACTATAAATGCTGATGCAGCTCAGCAGTCAATCAGAATAGGAATGGGTGGAATGGCCTTGGTGCACATCGGCTGGGACTCGGTGCATAAATTCCAGAAGTACAGATGCCACTTGTAGAGATGGGTTGGTGCAGGAAATCTTGGGTATGTGGTGGTGTGAGGTACTCATGTGTGTGCAGGTGATGTTTACAACATCCCAGAGCAGGATTTTCACATTGTGTTGCCTGTTTATCATAAGTTTGCATGAGTATATTTATTTGGATTATACATTTAGCCTTGCAGTATTCTGGTATTGCACAAGGATTAAAAATAGTGTGTGTGTGTGCGTGCGTGCCATACTGCACAATGTATACAATTTGATCAACACATTATCGCATTCATATCAATGTTCATTTTAGAAGAAAACGAGCGGGATTTGTTTTCTAAGCACCAATGGAATTCTGAAATCACAAGCGAATGTGTAATAATATAGGTTTAAAACAAATAACGTGGCACATCAAGTACTGGTTTGGTATCAGTCGTCTGTTTTGGCAATTTGATGGTTGTGTGCATTTTATGTACGTGTGTAATACTGTTTGTTAAAAGCCATACATGCACTTTGTGCACTTTATTTAAACATTCTGATCAAAATGCTCGATGGCACAAGGTGTCCTTGAAAGGTGCAGATATACCTGTTATACCTGCAAAAATAAGTTTTGTCCTTTATGTACGTGTGATATATGTTTATGCAAGTTGAAATGTTGCATTTTTAGTATTGGGTAGGTTTTTAATGGTCATAATTAGCACAATTTGGAAAAAATGACCAAATTTGTATGTTGAACTCCTTTCGCACCGTACGTAGCTAATCGCGTAGGTGCGTAATGTCATTTGGATTACACTTCACAGTCATCGCCCCCCTATTGCTCAACCAATGTCCACTCGCAGGTCGGTACCAATTCCCCTTGTGCCACACAGGGGACAGCTGCCACTGGAGGGGGGGGGGGGGATCCCCTTTGAATGTTTGATGTGTAGCAAGGCACAGCGTTTCCGAGGTATTATAGCACCACGTAAATACAAAGATTATGAGTGTATATTTTTTCAAATGCGTGCAACTGCCTACATTATTACCGGCATCCATTTCCATTTGTGTTCCGTTTGTGTTTTTTAAACTGTGTTTTAACATTGTTTATTGCTTACTAAAGGTGTTTTAGTGTGTTAAGCAAGGTAACTTTTATGTGGTTCATAATACCGTTTTTTGGGTTCGATTGCATTTCATGTGCTTTCATGTGGTTGTTGGTCAATTGCTTTTTATTACAGGCTGGAGGCACAGCGTTTTTTTGGTGTGGTTTTGAGTGATTAACGGTCATCGTAAAACCTTTTCCCAGGTATAGGTTACGACATGGACCAGGAACAAGGCTCGCTCAACCTTCTGGATGTGCAGATTCCCCTTGGGGAAATAACGTGTTTGTACTCGTCATGCCTCGTCTCAGTAGTAACCGAGAGTTCTCAGGGAACGTGCCACACACACGGGGGGACCAAGCTGTTTTTTTTTGTAATGATCACTTACCGACAGATTTGATTCTCTTGCAGATTTCTTATCATCACTCTTCAATGGAGACTGCAGGACGCAACTTTCCATTTCCTTCAGACCACCCCACTTAACATTTTGTTCATTGCAGCGTTTTGAGTGTTTTCTTCATCAGGTGTGACTGTATGGTGGAAGACGGTTTCCCTTCATCTCCAATGTTGTGTGTTTGTGGGCTCCTCATCTACACTGTCGGATTGGTAAATAAAAACAAGCGTGGATTCATTTAAAACTCAATTCATAACGTCTCACGTGTTTGTGTGTTTTCAGGTGAAGCAGCATTAACCCTTGCTGCAGCATGTTTTGTTAATTGTATGTAAAAAGCCATTAATTTTTTTTAAAGTGAAGTGTTTGGCTTGAGCTTTGTGAATCGCGGTTGATCAATGTGTAGAACTTGCCAACTGTTGGAGATGCCCTGCTGGCCTGTGCAGGGTCTTGTATGTGTACTCAATTTACTTGCAGGAACAAGTGAAGTCATCCTACCTGGGCCTCCAGTGATTTTCCTATCGAAGTGGATTTGGGATTTTAACACCACTGGTTTCATTACACATTGCATTTTTTGGAAACCAACTGAACTTTGTAATCTTATATTAAGATCTTAAAAAGTGTGACATGTCGAGTTTTAAGAACTGAAATTCCATTGTTCATCAATACATGGATACTGGAACACGTATTGCACTGTGTGTATTACATCTGCCTTATCTGATATTCTGATATTTGTATTAAAGAAACATTCTACTTCTATAAGACTTTTTAAACCTGAATATGATAAATAATTGGCTACTTTGTTTATTTTAGCACCTGGATGCTGGATCTTGTATTGTACTATGTGCATGACATTTAAATCTTCTGATATTCAGGATTTTGTATTAAAGCAACGTTCTATTTTTATACTATGAAGACTTTGTAAAGCTGAATGTTTTTAAATAAACACATTTCAAAAGGCAACTTAATTTCTTGCTCATTTTCTTACATGTGTAATGAAGCTCCTTTGAGACGCCCATTCTTAAAAAAGGTGAAGTCTTTATGTCTAAGAATAACGTATTTACAACTCCGCGATCGGTCAGCCCTGATGGTTTCCACTCGTCGCCCGCGATCAGTCAGCCCCGATGCCTTCCACCTCGTTTGTTGGTTCCCGGGCAAGCGCCCAGACTGCGGGCCTCGCTCGACCTTATATACCCACTCGGCCCGCCCCTGTTGGGCAGTGCCGTCCACCCCACTATGGCACGTGTCTTTAATTATCTCAACGTGTATTTATTGAATAGCACTGGTCTACAATTTTTTTGACGTCTGCTTCAGAGCTTCAGAGATTAAATGTGCTGTTTATTATTGGACTAGCTTGGTTGCTCGTCCTAGGACGGAAGCTGTAATATTTACGAAAAAATTGAGCAGAGTATAATTACACTCCTTGGTTCTTTCGGTAAAGTCACGTAGGTATAAAATAAATCACGACGTTTCGGGCGCAACACAAGCGTCCGTCATCAGGTGGGAAAGCGCGGTCTGCTGCTGAGGCAGACTGTTTTAAAAGGTTTGAAATGGGTGTAGCCCAAGGGTCATAAAGAAGTGGGCGGGGCTGGTGATGTTAATGTGGAAATTAGCATAATGTTAATGTGATAAATTTGCATAATGTTTATGTGAGAAATTAGCATGTACCTGTAATATAGGAGAGCGGCCTCCTCGACGAGGGCATGGAAGTGGCTATGTGAGAGATTAGCATGTCAATGTAAGAACGAAGAGTGGTTGCAATCCAAAGGCATGAGGGCCCAATCCAATGTTAATGTGATTTATTTTATTTTATACCTACGTGACTTTACCGAAAGAACCAAAGAGTATGGATTCCTGCAGTCACGAAAGCTTCAAATCAAGACAGAGTATAATTGTATCTTTTTGAAATTTAATGGCAGTGAATCTTGCACTAAAATATCGTCAAACACTGCACTGCATTTCACTGTAGCACTGTATATAACTGACCTTCAATTTGTACAAATAAACTGCTCTGATACTTTATTCTCTTCTGCTTTCGGTCGCTGAGGTTGAAATAAATTGGAATTCGATACAATATCTGGAAAATCACCAAGAAATGTCTATTTTACCGTGATGTAGAAGCATAAATTAGACTTACCTTTTGTCTCAAATGCTGAAGATATAAATAAAGACACCAAATCCACTTTGTTGCTACATATAAATATTTATTAGATTCACTTTCAATAAAGAAACGTCCGACTTAAAGCGAATTTGCAAAAGAAAAAAAGTATTTCCGCTCGACCTGCGTGAGTGTAAAAATCCACTTGCTCATGAATATTAATGACGGGGGGGGAGGCGGCGGCACGTGGAGTGACGTCACGCGCGTTAAACAAACAGACATTCTGTGCTGATTGGCTACTGTTCCCAAGATATTTTAGTTTTTACATTTTACTTCTATGTATAATGTGTAGATAGAGTTTTACTCATAAATTGTAAACCTAGGTATTTTCATGTGTTTATGGTTGCTTGACATGGCAACATGTCACCTGTCCTGTTCATGTAACGCTTTAAACATCAGTTAAAGGGTTATATAGATAACATTAATTATGAAACAAAAGGCTAAAAACTATGATGTATATATAAGTACGTAATTTAATCCTTATTCAGTGTCTACTCTGTGCTTCTTTGCTTGTCTCTTGTGTTCATTAAATGGAGCATCTCTTGTCACTGTCCAGCAATGGTCTGCAAGCATTGATGGGCTCCATTTGCCCTGATTCTGATGTTTCTCCATTGTTGCAATGTCCCGGTGAAATCGCTCGCCATGCTCGTCGCTCACTGCTCTGCAGTTCAGTGGGAAAAAAATCTAGATGAGAGTGCACAAAATGTATCTTTCGTGACATGTTGCAACCAATGCCTTTGTATGGCTTGAAAAGGTTTTCCACCAACTCCCTGTAGTTGTCTGCCTTGTTTCCGAGGAAATGTATTGCCACGAACAGGAAGGCTTTCCATGCCGTCTTTTCCTTGCCACGCAGTGCACTGTCAAATGCATCATCTTGAAGAAGTTCACGAATCTGAGGATCAACAAGACACCATCCTTTATGTTAGCTTCACTTAACCTTGGAAATTTTCCAAAGAGGTACTTGAAAGCTGCTTGTGTTGTGTCCGTGACTTTGCCAAAGTTTTTCATCAGACCCAGCTTGATGTGGAAGGGTGGTAACAATCTTCCTTGATTGAACAAGTGGTGGATGCTGACAACGTTTCCTCCCAGGCTCCAATGACTGTCGGAGTGACAAATATATCTTGATGTAGTGGGAATATCTCGCACGACTATCCCATTCACAGAGAAAACAGCAGTACTTTGTGTATCCAGTCTGCAGACCAAGCAAAAGAGCAACAACTTTCAAATCGCCACAAAGCTGTCACGAATGTTGGTCATAGTTTATGCACCTCACAAGTTGTTTCATGTTGTCATATGTTTCCTTCATATGGCCTGCATGGTCAACTGGAATTGATGGAAAAACATTGTCATTCTGCAGCAAAACAGCTTTAAGACTCATCTTCGATTAATCAATTAACAGTTTCCACTGGATCATGAACGATGTTGAGGGCTGCCATCACACCATCGATGTTGTTGTAGGCTACAAGATCACCTTCCATGAAGAAGAATGGGACAAGATCCTTTTGACGGTCACGGAACATGGAAACCTAACATCACCTACCAGGAGATTTCACTGCTGCAGTCTGGAGCCCAACAGCTCTGCCTTACTCTTGGGTAGTTCCAAATCCCTGACAAGGTCTTTCAGTTCACCTTGTGTTATGAGGTGTGGTTCAGAGGAGGAGGAAGGGAAAAAATCTGGGTCATGTGGCCTTGATGGTTCAGGACCAGAAGTTTCATCCTCTTCCTCGTCTGACTCAAGTGAGAATGATTCTGGTGCATCAGGAACCGGCAGTCCTCCGTGGGGTACTGGGCGTATAGCCGATGGAATGTTTGGATAATTCAGAGTCCACTTTTTCTTCTTTGACACACCTTTCCCAACTGGAGGCGCCATGCAGAAGTAACAATTGCTGATATGATCTGTTGGCTTTTTCCAAATAATTGGCACTGCAAAAGGCATGCATTTCCTCTTTTTGTTCAACTCCTGGTGAAGATTTGTTGCACGAGTGTTGCAGCATGTGTGCGGCCCACATCTTGTCCTGATCTCCAATTTTGCAGCCAAAATAAAGGTGACAGGCTTTTTTAACCATAGTGATTATACTGGCGCTTTTGAGATGCAAAAGCCACTTCAACACAAACATAGCAGAAGTTATCTGCTTTGTTCACACAAGTACGAGGCATCTCTGCTCACTTTGGCTCAACATAAATGTGTCCCTTTGCAAAATCAAACACTGACAAATAAGAGAGCAGAAAATTAGTATTTGTCTAGAGCTGATATCGGGCAATTTGTTCAGCAGATGGATGTAAGCCTAGTTATTGTTGCATCATCCATGACTTCTAAGAATAACATGATGGAATTCATGTAATGTATGGTGCAATCCCAGGTTCAGATTGCATCATTCATTGTTTTGCTCAAAAAGCAAGTACTGTCCAAACCCAGTCATAGATTTATTCATAGATCCAGTCAAATATGTATTTGAGTAATTTCTGGTTTAAATTGAGATTGCTTCCCTTTATAACTCACGTATCCTCCGCCATTCCCAAGTCAAGTGTCGTGTATACTGACGAAGTAGCATATCTTTAAAACTAGAGCCAATCAAAAATTTTAAGCATCATTTTCATTCTCAGTGACACAGAATTAGTAAAGTTGGACTACATTTATTTTGGAAGCATTATGGCTTAGACCAGTGTTATCTATACAGGACCTTACGGCCACCTAATTATCTCAACGTCTACACTCGCACTTTCTCCTTACAGTCCCCTACACATGTTCTGCCCGCTTGTACTGTGGCTTAGGCTCCACACACATACATAGCTGCCCTACTGGAGTCGGCTGCCAGTTGGTGGCGCTTTCACGATGCCTCAGCATTCAATATAAACTATTATGCTATTTTACCAGGTAAGGCCCACTGAGCTATATAGCTCGTTTTCAGAAGCGACCTGGCCACAATTGATAGCTCAACGAAGTGGCTTATGTGGAAATCTATAGCAGCCAAATACTCTTAAATGCAAATTGGTTCTAAATGTGAAAGGAAAAACCAGAGGTCGGGGAGAAAAAGCCACGTGACCACTGGAAGAGAACATGCAAACCCCAAAATATCAACATGTGTCAGTCGGGATCGGGATCGTACCCACACCCTCCTGTATACCAGGCACGAGTTATTTAACATCTCGCCACTGTGGCGCCTTTGAGTTCCAGTCAGTTTTCCTACCACAAGCAGGACCCCTGCAAGGGAAGCGAAATGATTTACACTTCCAGGGTACAAAAAAACCACCCCAATGCTGATTAAATGTTCAGGTACAATCTTGATTTGAAGTTTTCGTGACTGCAGGAATCTATACTCTTTGGTTCTTTCGGTAAAGTCACGTAGGTAGAAAAAATAATAGATCACGACGTTTCGATTGCAACACAAACAATCGTCATCAGGTGGGACAACCACAGCAAGAAAAACTGTTGGCGAGAGATCTGCCGTGGTGTTCAGGTACACCTAAAATTTTTACACTTATGCCCAGAGGACATTGAAAATTTGGAAACATTTCTACTTGTAGTTACCTAAAATGGAATCCATGACATTATGAGACCTCCTTTGCCAGTAACAAGATATAGGAATAGGTTTTACCCTTTTAACTGGCACAAAAACTGACACCTTTATTCAAGGAATCATGTTTGAATAACCACAACACAAGCAGTCAAAATACAAACAAAAAGACAACTCTGATAATAACAGTGCATATTATTATCAGAGTTGTCTTTTTGTTTGCATTTTGACTGCTTGTGTTGTGGTTATTGCAAACATGATGCCTTGAATAAAGGTGTCAGTTTTTGTCCCAGTTAAAAGGGTAAAACCTATTCCTATACCCTGGAATCCATGAGTTTGGTAACAATCTCACTTTCCGATGGCTAGAGCTGAACGTTTATAGTACAAGTATATCGGTGCAAAATTCATTGGAACGAACATAGAGCACACATCAAGGCTGTAACGGATAAAAAAATATGCACAACACTAAACACATGTTGCACTATTAATAGAAGAATAGCCAGATTAAAAAAGGAAGACACGACCTCGTGGCTCCTGTTGATTAGGTCTGAACCAGCTGTTGCTCTGAGCCTTCTGAGCCAAATCAGAGTTTACCAATGTCTTTGTTGGATACGCAACCGTGCCACACACACACACAGGACACGGGGCCTGGAGGAGGTCTAAATTAATTATTACCGAGCACGGAAAGGCCGTCAGCGATTATATGCTCCAGAGGATACACCTTTAGCAAAGCTGGGGCAATGGTGCAGGTTAATTATTGAGCTTGCAGATCAATTACCTCTCAAATGACCAACGCAGGCAAACAAAATTAGACAGCGGAGGCATCATCTAGCCATAGCTGTGAACAAAAGAGCTTAACATGTACAGTGCTATGTCTTAGTAACATGATCTAGCTGGTATTACTGACGGTCGTATTAGTTTATATAAGTAACTGCCTGCCTGGCTGTCATATCTCTGGAGGTTATGTTGGGTACTCTTTGGTTCTTTCGGTAAAGTCACGTAGGTATAAAATAAATTAAATTAAATGGTCAATTGTTGATTAAATCCGAAAGACGCAGGGAACTTACTCAGTGTTCAGGAGTAACACGTTATAAGCCAGTACATTACTGCCACCAGATTAGCCAAGGTAGGTAGTGGTAAACTTGTTAGTGTATAATTTGGTTACGGTTTCTTAGCGCGATTACTTTTTTTTATGATCACTTTCTCAAAGTTTTAAAATGATTACAAAAATAATTAAATGGGGGAAATGATGGTGTCAGCGGCTTTGGTGAACGTGAGGGGAGCAGCACCCGACGCACCAAGCCCACGGTCACAGGAATGTGCTCTTATTTCTGAACGCGAAAACAATACGCGTTCATTTGAAGAACGCGCGACCTTTGCTTTTGAAAAATACCAAATATTAGGCTACATTGCGTCATTTGCAAAAACGCCGAGCAATCATTAATCGGACGGTACCCGATTACTTTTCAAAGAGTAACCTCTCGGCGCTTAGCCCCATCGCAAAGATGTCACCGTGGTGCCACAAAGGCACGGCCCTGTGCGTTGGTGGCACGGGCGACACGAGGGACCGGGGCAGTGCAAGCGTTGCCAAGGGGTGGCCGCAAGGCACGGGCGAGCCCGCCTGGATGGTGGCCATCCTCTACGCCGTGCAGGTGAGCCGTACGCTCTGCTCCGTTCTGCGCGCGCTGACATTGGGCTGTGCCGGTCGTCGTCGTAGTCGCGGTGCTAAACGAGCCAGAAGGAACGCAGCTGTAACACGCCTGCCCCTCTGTGGGCTAAGGGCTGCCACAGGGACGATGCCTCTATCTTGTGGATGCATGTGTGTGTGTACTGGATGTTGAGCTTCTTTCGCGCCGTACTTTTGCCAACCGCGCTAACCGGAGGTGTCGGGGAAGGACGGCGAACTGGACACAAATAGCAGTTCTAAAGAAATTAGTTTTCAATCTAGATTTAAGAGTGCATCGCTCGCTCAAGCGGCTTCCTAATATCGTTACATCGCGGTAGCCATCTGTGCTCGATGTTGTCTGGTCCCGTCGCTTTCACAGCTTTGGTGGTCAATGAGATGGCCTCAAATTCAACTCTCGCGTAAGTGGACGAGAGCTGGGATGCGGCTGAGCACTTGGTTGCCTTAATATGCCTCTCAGTGCAACCGTTGGTGTTCTTGAGAGGCCCGCTGTCCACTGCATTGGCCATGCCGTTTCAGTGGTCGGTGCCGGGAAGGCTTAGCCATCCCAAGGGTCCACAGCAGATTCCAAGCTTCATGGCAGGAACGTGCAAACATGAGATTCTCAGCTGTTTCTCGCCGGGCCGAGTTGAGATATCTTTGCATTGCCTTGTCCGCTTTGTGTTGCCCCCAGCAGTGCCTCCGTTGTATTGAGCCAACACGGCTTATAGGCTTTTCGATGGCCGTGGGGATGTTATATCGGGCAGGGAGTTTGACGATTTGACAGGAACTCTGTGGGTCAGTTTCGAGGCTCTTGATCCTGTCCTCAATTTTTGGCTGTGGATCTTGATCGCATTGCTCTCCAGACATTCCATCGAGGTCTTGGTTTAGACGATACCAAGGGAACTCGGACCTCAGTGTGAATCACGGATGGGTGATGCTGGCGGTGCATGTAAATAAATCGGGCAGGATTGTTTTTGGTCACTATTTTAAAACAACGTTTTATTTTACCAGGTAAGGCCCACTGAGCTATGTAGCTCTTTTTCAGAAGCGACCAGGCCACGAATGATAGCTCAAGAAAGTGGCTTATCACGTGCAACTTTATAGCAGCAAAATCCTCTAGACGCGTGTTTTATTCTTTGAGTCTTTCGGTAAAGTCGCGTAGATAGGTTAAAAAATTATAAAATAAACAAAAAACTACGACGTTTCGATCGCAACACAAGCAAGCTGTTTATATATTTATTCTAAATGTGTAGGGAAAAAGCGGAGGACCCGGATAAAATCCACGCGACCACGGGGAGAACATGCAAACTCCAAATACACAATATGTGTCAGGGTCGGGATCAAACCCACGACTACCTCCTGTATACCAGGCAAGGTAGTTAACATCTCGTCACCGTGGGTCGCGTTCTTGCGTGCAGAGGGGCTGTCCGTTCTTATCCGCGGGTATGAAACAGAGATCGGAGCTGTAATCTCTCGGCCACCTGCTGGACTGCAAGGCATACCTTGTACGTACTGTGTGTATGTTCAACTTCTTTTGCACCGTACGTAGACAACCGTGCTAATCGGAGGTGCTTCGGGTAGAACAAGAGGTACGGCACTGGGTCCGCGGCGGACGGTCCCGATCGGCGAGTTTGTTCGCCTGCCTTGTTGTTGTTTTTTTTCGGCGTAACCCCACACACCGGCTGTGGCGGCTGACCAAAAGTCGGTGTCGGAATTGGGCCCCTCCACAACTGCCCAGAGGGGCCCCCTTCCGACTCGTCTCGCCCCCACTCGTCTCCCGGCAGCACGTGCTGCTGCTCGCCGCCTCCCTGCAGGCGAGCTACCTGCTGCTCCTGCTCTCCCCGGCGGCCGGCGTCGGTGGCGGTGGCCCCGGCTCGCGTCGCTCGCCTCTGCACGCGGACGGCCCGTGGCCCAGTCCCCAGCTGCTGGCCACGGGTTTCTTCTGCTCGGGTCTCTCCACGCTCGTGCAGCTCACGCTGGGCTCCAGGTAAACCAGGGCGCCGCCGTGGTGAGATGTTAACTACCTCGCCTGGTATAACAAGGAGGTTAGTCGTGGGTTCGATCCCGAGCCTCACGCCTGCCGCTGTATATTTGGAGTTTGTGGTGTCTCTCCCCTCCGTGGACGTGCGGATTTTTCTCCGGGTCTTCCGGATTGTTCCTCCACATTTAGAAACACGCGTTTAGAGTATGTGGCTGTGATTCCACGTGATAAGCCACATCGATTAGCTATTCTTTGTGGCCAGATCGTTTCTGAAATAAATAGCTGTATAGCTCAGTGCGCCTTATCTCGTTAAATAAATAGTTTAGGTACAGACGCTCACCTTTGCAGAGCAACCAAAGTCTCGACCACGTCCGCTCGATACGAGATCACTACTTCCTCTATGCTGCTCACCAAGGCTGAAACTGTTCCCCCACTGGTTGTCTTCACTGCTGAGGTTTTATTTCTAATGGAGATTTTGCCAGGCGCACAGTTTTCGTTCATCCCAAGCGATAATGATCAGAGGCGCGATAAACCACAGAGAAGCGGGAACGCAGCCAGAGCTGGTGCCTACAATTGCCAAAGCTACGTAAAGTATATATATGTATGTTGAACTGTCTTGCGCTAATCGGAGGTACACGAGTACGGTTTGGTTGTCGGTGTTAACCGAGTGCCTGTCGCCCTCCAACAACAACGGAGAGCAAGTGGAGCGATGCTCACAACAACGCAGCGGAGCGCCGGTGCGGCTAAAACGCAGCACGTTTGCATAATTGGTTAGGGCACAACTAGTGCATCTACCCAGTGTCGGATATCCCAGTAGCAAAAGTAGCTACACATGCTTCGTGCCCGGCACTTTCAAAGGGCCCCCGCGCTAAATGCTTTCAAGCTATCAATTCCGGTTCAGTGATTCTGCACTTGCTCTTTTCCTATAGTACTATACCGCCTTCAACTTTTATGAACGACTGGGTGTTTAAGATTAGCGATTTGTCGTATTATCCGGCTGTATAGCAAATGAAAAAGTACAATTACTTTACTATTCGAGTGCAGTGATTGTGATTGTTACTGCGTGGTTGCCGGGCTTTACGAAGCCACGGCGGATAATGTGCTGACATTATGTGTAGCCCACTTACGGGGTGTAGTACCAGCCCTAGCCGGCCTTGGGTGAGCGCTGCTCAGCGTGGAGGCACCACGAGCAGTGTGCGGTGCGGGCTCCCGGTGAGGGAGCGAGAGGGAGCGTCAGCCAGCCAGGGTTACGCGGGTTAACCTGCTGACAGCTGCCCAGGGGACAGGACAACTTCACCGCATCAAAGGGACGATGGACGGGGCCATGTACCGTCAAATCTTGGGTGAGAACCTCCTTCCCTCAGCCAGGGCATTGAAAATGGGTCGTGGATGGGTATTCCAGCATGACAATGACTCAAAACACACGGCCAAGGCAACAAAGGAGTGGCTCAAGCAGAAGCACATTAAGGTCCTGGAGTGGCCTAGCCTTGCTCCAGACCTTAATCCCATAGAAAATCTGTGGAGGGAGCTGAAGGTTCGAGTTGCCAAACGTCAGTCTCGAAACCTTAATGACTTGGAGAACATCTGCAAAGAGGAGTGGGACAAAATCCCTCCTGAGATATGTGCAAACCTGGTGGCCAACTACAAGAAACGTCTGACCTCTGTGATTGCCAACAAGGGGTTTGCCACCAAGTACTAAGTCATGTTTTGCAGAGGGGTCAAATACTTATTTCCCTCATTAAAATGCTAATCAATTCATAACATTTTTGACATGCGTTTTTCTGGATTTTCTTGTTATTCTGTCTCTCACTGTTCATATAAACCTACCTTTAAAATTATAGACTGATCATTTCTTTGTCAGTGGGCAAACGTACAAAATCAGCAGGGGATCAAATACTACTTTTTCTCTCTCGGTCAGTCAATCAATGACACCTGGGTCTGTCCCGTGACCCCCTGCGAGCAACGAGCCTTCGACACTTCACGTGACCTCGGAGTGCACCTAGCCTGGCACATGCGCCGTGGCGACGTCACAGCCACTTAGTGGCGAATACCGGCTGTTGTTATTGTTGTCCGCCCTGTCCCCGAGTTCAACTTACACCGTCTAAGGGGAAGGGTCGCGCTGTGTGCAGGTTGCCCGTGCTGCAAGGGGCCTCCACAGGGGCCTCGGCTCCGCTGCTGCTGCTGCTGGGCCGCTACTCATCCTGCCCCAGCGACGCGGCGTGTTCCGCGCAAGCCACGGGTACGTGCCTTGCGTGATCAAGGGTGGAAGGGGCAACGGCGGGGAGCGAGTTGGGGGGGGGGGGGTTGGGGCAGTCTCAGCGTTGACACGCGGGAGACGCACGCGGAGACAGCGAGACGCGGAGAGAGAGAGAGAGAGGGGGGGAGACAGACACGGCCGCAAAGAGAGACACGGATAGTGGACACGGTTGCAAACAGATGGGCTGACGTGGAGACTAACGCAGAGCTACCAAGAGACAGATAAAGATACGAAGAGAGGCACGGATACAGATCGAGGCACGGATACATGCAGAGACATATTGGGGGACAAAAGACGATACGTCGATATTAATTATTGATTACAGTTTATTGCAATGGGTGGGGGTAAGTGCCCTGTTCCCACATTCGTCAATGTTGAATAACACAAAAATGTGTCTGCTCATGTGAGCATGGGGCAATGCTCATCTCTATCGGATGTCTCAATTGAGTGGTGGAAATTCCACATTTCTGTGGCACCCATCAGTTTCTCCATAGGACAACCACTGTTGACTATCCACTGTGGCAATCATACATCGACATAGAACAGATGATGGGCTTAGGCTACTCCTGGCTGGGAATTGAATTTCTAACCTTCTGGTTGTGAATCCGGCACCATAAACACGGCACTTACCTCCTGGGATATCATTACCAATAGAAGTTACGTGGCAATTAGTAATGAATCTGTCTCTGTGTGTTACATTAGGTACCAACAACAGCAACTCCAGCATCAATGCCACGGCCAACTACGAGTGGCCAGAGCGTACCGGAGAGGTGAATGAAATGCACTCAATACTATAACTCCACAGCAGAAACTTAAGTCGTCGCGAGAGAGAGACACACAAACTTCAAATATACAGCAGCAGGTGTCATGGTCGGGATCGAACCCACGACCTCCTGTATACCAGGCGAGGTAGTAAACATCTCGCCACCGTGATGATGATGGGAGAGAGAGACACGCACACTCCAAATACATAGCAGGCGTCAGGGTTGGGATCGAACCCACGACCTCCTGTATATCAAGCGAGGTAGTTAACATCTCCTAGCCACCGTGTTGATGATGGGAGAGAGAGACACGCAAACTCCAAATATACAGCAGCAGGCGTCAGGGTCGGGATCGAACCCACGATAGCCTGTATACCAGGCGAGGTAGTTAACATCTCGCCACCGAGGTGTTATATCTTTAGTACTGTATATTATTACAGGCGGTGCCGGATTATCATAGTAGCTACGGGCCCTGCACTTTCAAGGGCCCCGTGCTAAATGATTTCAAGCTGTCAATTCCGGTTCAGTGATTCTTGCACTTGCTCTGTTACTATAGTACTTTACTGCCTTCAACTTTGATTAACGACTGGGTGTTTAAGGTTAGCGATTTGTCGTATTATCTGGCTGTATAGCAAATAAAGAATGCAATTACTTTACTATGCACGTTACAAATTTGTGTTTTAATATTTATGTTTTTTATTTAAGGCCACTTTTTAACAGATGCTACAGGCCCCGCACTAGATTACTCCGGCACTGATTACAGGGTTAAATCTATTCCGGTTAATCGTTGGGCATAGCTTTCCTGGTGATTCAGGGAGCCCGTTGAGATTCACCAAAGTGGATCACAGTGCTCGTTGTGAAGCTTACAAATTGTTCGCAATGGGGTAGCTTATTAAAAAATGGAAGCATAATGAAATCACTAGATGGAGCACAATTCAGTGACATACATATGGGGTGGTGTCCAGATTGGCCAATGGAAGACAAGCTTCTTCACTTCTGACCAACTGGTGTGAGACAATAATAGTTTAGTTACAATCAGTGCTTGGTTAGGCTTCTCGCCATTCGTCGAAAAGTAAATGTATAAGTCCCTCTCATGAAACCTCTTCACCATGCAGCCCGTGTTCACTGACATTTCCCCTCTGCGGAAACATCATAGCGCCGTAGAGGAATGGGACATTGTTCTGAGAAGTGCCAGTATGGCATGTAATAATTGCTCGAAGGGATTGTGGCCGATAGCCAGCACGACTGAGTGCCAGCCAAAGGAGGCGGTTCGTGTCGGAGCACATCCGCCGCGGAGATGGAGCAACGGAGCAGCAATGCGATCAGCTCGTGTGTGCAATGTCGTGCAGCTGGGCGGGGCGCTGCTGCTGTCCGGCCTGGTGCAGGTGCTGCTTGGGGCCGTGGGGGCTCCGGCACGGCTGGCCGTGCTGTGTGGGCCCATGGTGCTGGCGCCCGTACTCTGCCTCCTCGGTTTGGCCGGATACCAGCACACGGGCGAACTTGGCGGCAGCCACTGGGGTCTTACTGCCGGGTAGCTACAGCCACATCCCATTCCGTCCGTCCGTCCGTCCATCTGTCCTCTTGGGTTAAAGCAAACGTCCCGCTGGTCTGTCCTGGTTTCCTAAAGCGTTTGTGAAAATGTGGATTAGATATTCTGGTCTCATGCTATGACACCGAGTCGATAAAACGAGTACCGCGTTGCGGCAAGACATCAGCGGTTGATTCCGGTCGAGAGCGACCCCTTAAATGGTGATGTGGAATTTCCAGCGCTTGCTCAGCACCCTCCCGGAGAGGGTGAACGCCGCCGCCCATTGTTTGTCTGCGCGCAGGTGCGCTTTGACTCTCTGGACTCTGTGCCTTGACGGTGGTGTCGTCCGCAGGGGGACGCTGCTGCTGGTGCTCCTGTCCCAGCACATGGAGAGGCATCGCCCTGCACAAGGGAAGGCGGGACCTCGCCGTCTGCTGTGGGCAGTGCCGGCTGCTTGTCGGAAACTCTCGGTATGGCACGAAACGCACCGCCACTCCGCGTCCTCGGTGGCCTCGCCCCCGACACCCTTCGAGTACGCGCAACGGTGGGGCACCGTGCTTGGCACGCTGCGATGTGAACCCGCCAACCTGCTCACGGCTAGCAGCAGCGTTGGCGAGTGAAATCTAAAACTGATCCTGGGCCTTCATTCACCAGCCTGCACGCACCAGCGTGATGAAGCATGGTCAAACAACCCCCATGACTGACACGGCATGGGGAGGCCTTCATGCAGCATTTTTTTTTAAATGTTAATTCAATTAAACTCATATGTTAGTGTTACATTTAAGATAATATGATGGAAAATGTGACGTAATTTTCATATTCTTGGTTCTTTCGGTAAAAGTCACGTAGAAGGGAAACAATAAAATTTAAAAAATATAAAACAATTAAATTCTCACGATGTTTCGACTGCAACACAAGAATAACTGCCAAATCGCTCTCCGTGGTGCTAACGCAAAAAAAACGCCACTTTTTCACATTTTCTTGCTGTGGTTTTCACACCTGATGATGATTGCTTGTGTTGCAGTCGAAACGTCGTGAGAATTGTATTGTTTTATATTTTTATTATTTTATTGTTTCCCTTCTACGTGACTTTACCGAAAGAACCAAGAATATGAATCCCTGCAGTCACAAAAGCTTTAAATCAAAATATAATTTTCATAGTTCAAGCATTACACACAACAGATAAATGTCCGTGTTGCTGTGTGAATTGCGCTGTCCACTTGTCCAGGTTGTTATGTGTGCATTGTCCTGCTCACTGTGTGGGTCACTGTGCTCGCTGGCAGGTGCTGCTCACTGTTGCTCTGAGCTGGGCCCTCTGCTCTGCTCTGCCCTCACTCTCCTTGCCGCCCGGCCGCTCGCAAGATGACGGAGCGGCCGCTGTGGCCTGGCTCAGCCTGCCCTACCCAGGTAAACTCCGCTAAAATATATATTTTTAACCAGGTCAGGCCCAGAAGCGACCTGGCCACAAATAATAGCCTAACAAAGTAGCTAATAACTTGGAAATTAATAGCAGCCAATGCTCTAAACGCACATTTCTACACATGGAGGGAAGAACCGGAGGATCTGGAGAAAATACACGTGACCACGGGGAGAACATGCAAACTCCAAATATACAGCAGGAGTCAGGGTCGGGATCGAACCCACGTCCTCCTGCATACCAGTCGAGGTAGTTAACATCTCCTAGCCACTGTGGCACCCCAGTGCACGGCCACCCACCGCCTCCGCCTCTGGAGCATGTGGCCTAGGGTTGCCACGTGTTCCACAAACCAAACTCGGACACGTGTCTCTGTGGGCCGAGGTCTATCAACACGATGCAGTGTATGGTAATTAAGTCGACTCCTGACACCCGCACATGGATGCCAATACCCGGACTCTTCTGGTAAGATCTGGACCAGTGGCAACACTAATGCAGCTTCATGTTACGTACTTATAATAAATTGAAGTATGGTAAAGCAACCCCCATGACGGACACGACATGGCAAAGGAACTTAACTTTTTTTTTAATTAAGATTCATGGCGGGGCCGTATTATAATCGTAAAACACTACCCCATCCAAGTTGACCCAACTTTGATTATTGTTTCGTTACATTTTTTCATTTAGACACTAAAGGACTTAATGCTTTTATGGGATGTAAGAAAAAAAAACCCTGTATAATAATAATGATGATGAAATGGTGGTCACGGTGGTCGTTAAGTATTTCCAGAGTTCATTCACAGTGGGGTGCCGAGTGGACTCGATACTCGTGCTAGGTGAAATGGCCGTGACTATGAATACAGCCACGTCAAACATGGCCCATTACCTGCTGCACTGTTGCGAAGTCAAAAGAACATTCCCTCCCCCACTCTGCTTGGTAAATCAGTCACTTCTGCGTGGTCAGAATTGATCTCAATGAATAGGACAATCATTACACCACTCTCCTATCTAATTGTAAAAAAAAAACTTTACTGTCAAATCTAGATATCTGTAAGCCTATTAAGCATTTCCATTATCGACATCAGAAACGATCTGTCCACTGCTGGATGTAATCATTATTTTCTCGTACGCTAGAGCTGATCTAATCTCTCCCTCTCCTTGGTAGTTGCCGACTTTGGGCGAGTTCCATCATTTGGCTGCCATTCTCTCACCAGCCTCATCCCTCAGCCATTTTCCTAATGTAGCCATAATGCGTCCTGGCCCAAATCCACTTTCTTAACAGTCAACAAGATATCTCTGAATTTGCATTTGTTCTGTGATCGATGTGTTAGTTTTTCTGCCTTTCGGTGTAATTCCCAGCATGTGTCTCCAAGTTTTTATTGTACACTTTAAACAACAACGAAAAATTTCCATGGCTCAGCGCTGTGAACAGGTGATGAGCATTGTCTCAATGCTTTGTTGAGCAGGGAATAACTTTGGACAGTTTGTATTTTGGTAATATTTTTTTACATTGTTTTTACTCCCTACGCCGTTTGGGCTTTCGTTGTTGTGTCAGTCATGAAGCCATGAACATTATATTCATAACCCTTTCAGCAAGCACTACATCACCTTGTATCAGAGGACATACTACTTCTAAAATCGCTTATATGGACATTCAATTCAGTGAAAACCCAAGTTTTACGTGATGGGTGTGTTTGTGCAGTCCTTGGTAACTTGGCTGAGACCATCAACTCACTGCACTTGAGAAGCTGATTTAATCACAGATGGCTGAAACCCAGAGGGGAATCCAGGATTTAAGTGGCGCTGTCTCAGTGCACTGACTTGGTATTTATTACCTGAGACACCTTGGCCATTTTGACGCTGTGGTTGGAGCCTGCAGTTACAGAGCCATAAAGAGAGAGAGACGGTGGAGCCCCCTTTCACGCGCCCGTGATGTTGCACGTGACACGGTGGTGTTGTACGTGACACGGTGATGGCGCACGTGGTGTTGCACGTGACGCAGTGATGTTGCACATGACACGGTGGTGTTGCACGTGACACGGTGATGGCGCACGTGGTGTTGCACGTGACACGGTGATGTTGCACGTGACACGGTGGTGTTGCATGTGACATGGTGGTCATCAACGCGAGGCATCGTGACGCGATCGCCACCTGGTGGCTCTGTCTGCCATTGCTACTCGCGATTGCACGGCACTTGCATAGCCATGTTGGAAATTCACTGCTGAACGAAGGCCTCTCAACTCGGATCGTGGGACCATTTGACCATACTTCATCATGAATATGGGTGGGCGGCTAGACACGGTTCAGATACCACTAGCCATTGATGTTTAACCGTGGCCATAAATTGCACCGATGTTTTTTGGCGCAGTGCACAAACTACGGTAGTGGTCATTTCTTAATGGCAGTCATGAGCCAATAGTGTAAAATTTCAATTTAGTTGACAGAGACCAGTGGGATTCATAGGACAACACATTGTTGACTTCTAACCATGTGATAGCACCTCATCAGATGGGTGCTTATTTTTCTGAACTCGGAGGGATGATGTTAATAATGTTGACGATAATGCCATTGATGATGGGGTGAAGTCAACCCCCGCCGGGATTTGAACTTGGGAAACCCCACGATTTGGAGCACGACTGCTTGACTAACTGAGATTTCCCTTACGAAGGTTGGGAATCAAATCCTGGCCAGGGATTGCCTAGGTCTCTCATTCCTCTGGGGTAAATAGCATAATTAGCGTTTAGTGAGAAGTCTACAGTTTTGCTCTTATAAATAAACGCATCTTTACTGTGGTAATGTGGAATTTCCACCGACGTTCCAGGACTGCCAAACAAACCAAACACCACCCAGTGCTCGTTTTTGAACGAGGCACCACACTTCGGCTTCGAGACAAACAAGAAAACGATGATAACGGTGACTGTGACGACAACGATTACTGGGGCAGCGGGCGTTGCTGACGGTCACGGTGATCTCCCGCGCCCGCACTTGCGCCCATCGCTTGCAGGCCGCATGGGCTGGCCGGTGCTGAGCGCCGACGCGACGCTGGCGGGGCTGGTGCTGGCCGCGGCGAGCACGGCGGAGACGCTGGGCTGCTACGTGCTCGCGACGCGACTGCTCCGCTCGCCGGCTCCGGGAGCGAGCGCCGCCTCGCGCGGCCTCGCCGCGCAGGGGCTCGGCTGCGCCGTCTCGGGGCTGCTGGGGTCACCGGCCGCGGCCGCCGTGAGCCTGCCCAACGCCTGTGCCCTGGGGCTCACCGCCGTGAGTGTGTGGACGCCCCCGACGAGGTTAAACGAAACCGCTAAACTATATATGTATTCATATTCTTAGTTTTTTCGGTAAGAATATGAATTACTGCAGTCACGAAAGCTTTAAATCAAAATTTATATATGTATTATTATTTTTTTACTTCGCCCAGTAAGGCCCGCCGAGCGGTGCAGCTGGGTTTATTTTCTCTCTTTCCCAGAAGCCACCTGGCTATCACAAATGATAGCTTATCGTCACGTGGAAATTTATAACAGCAGCCAAATACTCTAAACGCACGTGTGGAGGGAGAAACCGGAGGACCCGGAGAGAAATTCACGCTACCACGGGGAGAACATGCACACTCCAAATGTACAGGCGTCAGGGTCGCGATCGAATCCACGACCTCCTGCATACCAGGCGAGGGAGTTAACATCTCCTAGCCACCATGGCGAGGCCAGCGCCTGTTCCCCAGCTGTCTTTGGACTGCCTGAATGCGTGGGATTGGCCAAAAAGCCATGCCGCATGGATTTTTTGTTTATTTAAAATGTCGTGGGTTTACTCTCCAACACGCCGGTGTGCTGAAATAGTATCTAATTGGGACGTTTTGTTTACGTGACAAACCTTACTAATTGGCTGTGTTGGGTGGTGCTCGATTAAGGACGCAGTTATATTTACACGGTATAACCTATACATCCTTTATTATGAATGATGTTTCTGCACCGATTCGTTATTTTCATATAATTACACCGAATCAACATTTGTCAACCGGCGGAAGTCCTCCTCCAACAAGCCACCACAACGCCAGATCAAACGCTAGCCGAAGGACATCCGATGCCCTTGAGGATCACTTTCTAGGAAACCAGCAGATGTTGTGCTATGGACAGTCTGGCCCCCACTATATGAATGTGGGGGCCAGACACCACTGGATCGACAACACTGAGATGGGCACCGGACCAATGTGTTTGAACCTGGCGACACGTACACTTGTTTTTCTCGTAATGACCTTGTTTATATTCTCTCAACCTCCCCGACATAACCCTCGCACCCCCACACAACCCTTTCCCCGCACCCCCATCACCGCCGCACTCCAACTCATCCCTCCATTGGACTGGGGCGGGGGGGGGTTCGGCAGGAGGGCAGCCGTCGGAGCGTTCTGCTGGCAGCCGTGCTCTGCCTGCTGCTGGGATTGAGTCCTCGTTTCTCAGCGTTGCTCGCCTCTCTCCCCCTGCCCGTGCTGGGTGCGTGCGCACTGCCTCCAAACGCCCAACACCACTCGGCGGCAAAACCAGCGCCCCCCCCGGCATGTAACGCTCGGCTAACGATTCCAACCCCCGGTTCGATGAATTCTCACGAATCACGGTTGGCGTTCCATTCAAGAAATCATTTTTCGTTTTTCTCGTTCGTACTGCCTCGTTCATATTGTTTCTCTACAGTGCCCGTCGACGTTTTTAAACGATGTTTTTTGTTTGTTGTTGCGCGCTAATTGCCCCATGGTGCAGACAGAGGGCACTCACCGATAACGTCTTGTAAACCCACAGCAGCCGATAATTATCAAGGGGCTGACGCTGCCCGGAAGGGCAACACCGGTCCAGTCTGTGGGATTTCGACAAGTGCCGCTGGATGACGTGTGTGCAGTAACAGACTCCGGCTGAGCTTGGTGCTCCACACAGACTCGCGCGCGTGCGCGGCGCTTGCAGGCACGGTGCTCGGAGTGACGCACGGCGTGGCGGTCGGTGCTGGGATCTCCTACTTCCAGTACTTGGACATGGACTCGGGACGGTGCATCTTCATCGTGGGCTTCTCCCTCTTCATGGCGCTGCTACTGCCTCGCTGGATGCAGGACCACGCGCAGAGCATTGCCAGCGGTAGGGTCGTGTCCCGGGCGGTGTCCGCGTTGGCGCTCACCTGTGATCTCGGTCCGAGCGTGGATGTGGTTGGTCAAATAGAAATTGAACGTGATGGGGTTTTTTTTCTTTCCCGCGTGGTCATTGTTGACCGGGCTGAGACCATCAGCTCGCTTGGCTTGAGAACCCACTTTAATCACGGGTGAGTGAGGCTCAAATTCAAACCCACGACCTTGGTCGTGTTATCTCAGTGCATTGTTTAAAACTACTTTTATTTTATTTTTTACCAGTTAAGGTACACTTAACTATGTAGCCCTTTTTCAGAAGCTACCTAGCCACAAATGATAGCGCAACCAAGTAGCTTATCATGTGGAAATGTATAGCAGTCAAATACTCTAAACGCATGTTTTTAAATGTGGGGGGGGGGGGGAAACCGGAGCAACCCGGAGAAAAATCCACGTGACCACCGGGAGAACACGCAAACACGTGTTCGTGTTGGCGTGCCTGTCTCAGCGGGCATATGTTCGCGCCTGCATTTTCATGTGTGTGTGTGTGTGAATACAGTATGCGTTTGTGCCTGCGTGTTCACGTGTATGTGGGCCCTTGGCCGCGCACGGGAACGCGGTTGTTGTCTCCCTGTGCTCATATCTGCGTGTCCGCGGGCGCGTGGTGCACTGCTGTGCAGGGCGCGCCTGGTACAGCCCCCTCCAGTCGCTGCTGCGCACGCCCGTGCTCCTGGGAGGCGCCATGTCCCTGCTGCTGGACTCTACCGTGTCAGGTACACTGGGATCAGTCGACGGGAGGAAAGGATTCGAACCCCGAAGTGAAACGATCGACCACAGTTGCACACGCGCGATAACTTCCCATGTAGGAAACTCACGCGAAAGGTGCAACCCGACGGAGGTAACGCGTCGAGTGTGGATGTGCACACACATTGAGACGTGTGTGTGTGTGTGTGCGTGTGTGCGTGTGTGTGTATGTCGAACTTCTTTCACACCGTACGTAGCCAACCGTGCGAATCAGAGGTGCGGGAGACATCGGCAGGTGCAGAGCGAGAGCAAGGAGCTATGGCGAAGGTTGTCAGGAAAATCAGGGGGAAGCTTCTCAAGTAAGGGGAATTAAAGACAATAACGATAAAATGCAGATCAGGAGGAAGTATCAGGGACATGGCTGGAGCACTTTCCAAGGTTGATATGATCCCTGTATTACCACGGACCTGACGGTGTTCAGCACAATACTGGCTGAAGCTGTCGTCAATGACTGCAGCCCGGATTTACTAAGAGAGGATTTGGTCACAGCATGTGACGGCGTCCTCATGGAGGAGAGCTACTCCGCAGAGCAGGAACACAGTAGATGATCCTTCTCCCTGCGCCATGCACGGGAGCCAAACACATGGATCTTGCATGAATAGCCTCGCCATGATATCAGTTTCGCATTCAGCGTTGGTAAACCTTGTTTCATGGGCTACCTTCGCCGTCTTAAAACTGAAATCGGGGTCTACGTGATTGGCCACCAATGCCTTCGGAGCCTAATACGGCACAGGGACAATGCCACTGACGAAGGCTGCATAGCTGCAGCATGGAGCAGCCCGACGCCGACGCCGACCTCGGGCCTAGAAGCTTGCCACACGTGCGCATGGACCTGTCGTGGAAGCTGTTCCCCCCGCGCTGTGTGACCACCAGGCACGCCCGAGGAGCGTGGTCTCTTCGCGATGCGCCTGGCCCAGGATCTTCAGGGCGGACCGGGGAGGCCGGCTACTCGCAGTACCGCGCGCAGTCGCTGGGCGGCGCTGCGCCGTTCGCCTCTCTGTGCCTTTGTGACGTCACGAGCCGCCTCCGGGGCTGCCCGAGCCAACGGGCATCGCCCGGCGCGTGGAGACGCGGCCCCCGTTCACGAGATGCGGCCGCTGGCTCGGGGCGCGAGCTCCAACTGCTGACGCGCGGAGCCCCAGCGCAAGTTGCCCTGTTGATCTTCGTCTTGTTATGTAATAGTACAGGCGACTTTGGGGGATGGTTTTTTTTTTTGGGGGGTTCGGAGCTCCGGCCTCGATGTGAATGTAAACGATCAATCAAATTATAGTGAATTCAAACTAGATTCCGAAGCTTTCGTGACTGCAGGAATGATTCTTTGGTTCTTTCGGTGAAGTCACGTAGAAAGAAATTAAATTAATTTCTAATAGCATACGACGTTTCGATTGCAACACAAGCAACCATCATCAGGTACAAATGAATGAGAGAAACAAACATAGTTGACTTGGAAATATAATGCAATACAACGCAGAGAGTCGGTCAACACAAAAGTCAACACCCCACCTGGTTGATTACGTTCCTCCAAACATTGCTAAATTTGAGAGAGAGACAGAACATAGACACGGAGACACACAGACAGACAGACACAGCAGAGAGAGACACACAGAGACACACACATGGGCACACAGAAAGACAACGTCTCTGTGTCGAGGCCTTAAATAGAGAGAGAGTGTGGGGGGGGGGGGGGGAGGGCAGAGGGGGGAGTTGTGTGGAATTCCTGCCCATAGCGGACGGACGAGCTGGGCACGGGACATCTAAATCAACAAGCACGGAGCGTTGTGTGGAATTACTGATTTCCACCGCGTTTGTTCCGTGCTTATTTATGGGTCCATTCTCTCCTCCGGCCGCTATGGGCAGGAATTCCACACAACTCCCCCTCTGCCCCACCCCCCCCCCTCTCTCTATTTAAGGCCTCGACACAGAGACGTTGTCTTTCTGTGTGCCCATGTGTGTGTCTCTCTCTGTTTGTCTCTGTGTGAGTCTCTCTGTGCTCGTGTGTCTGTCTGTGTGTCTCCGTGTCTATGTTTTGTCTCTCTCTCTCAAATTTAGCAATGTTTGGAGGAACGTAATCAACCAGGTGGGGTGTTGACTTGTGTTGGCCGACTCTCTGTGTTGTATTGCATTATATTTCCAAGTTTACTAGGTTTGTTTTTCATTCATTTGTACCTGATGATGGTTGGTTGTGTTGCAAACGAAACGTCGTATTCTATTATTTCATTCATTCTACGTGACTTTACCGAAAGAACCAAAGAATGATAATGAATTGTTATGCTTGTGTCAAGTCGCGTGCATACGCATTTGTTATTTATGAGAACCGCAAATATTACGCAAATACAACCTTCACGGGGGATGGAGTGGTATCACAGTGGTTAGCGTACTGCGCTACGAACCCGGTCAGCTAAGTTAAGTCCCCGGCTGCAGGTAATATTACTGCCAAGTGAGATCTGAATCACTTCTGCCCCTGCCCCCCCCCCCTGATCCCTCCTCTCTTGACCAACAACCCACACTGATCAGCGTGGTGAGGTATGGTCAATTCATCCCAATCACCAACATGGTGTATAACACCTTCATCCACCAGTAGACGGATAAAGGGTTGTGTCTTTAATTAATTGTTATTTTAAATGTTGACTTAAAGCTTTCGTGACTGCAGGAATTCATATTCTTGGGTCTTTCGGTAATGTCACGTCGATAGGTTCAAAGAAAATAACAAAAATAACAAAAAAAGCTGCGACGTTTCGATCGCAACACAAGCAATCGTCATCTGGAGAAACAAGAGCTTGAAAAGCTTCTGAGGCAATGCTACGAGTGAGACAGGACAAAAGGGAGAGACAAATAACATTTGACGCATTGGCAAATAAGACAAAAACTTCGTGATTTTTTAATGGCATTTTCGAATGGCGATTTACGAAGAGGGGAGTTTTGGGAGCCTTCCCATACCGAGTATATTATGGCGTTTAAACATACAACGTTGGGGCAACGTTGTATGTTTACTGGATTGCCAGTCGACATGTTGCTCGCCGACGTTGAATGTCATGACTGTCTATGGTAAACGTATTTATTATGATTTAGAGATCACGGTGATTTTATGGTAAAGCAGTTAGTCACGTGTAGGTTGGTGTGCGTGTGTATGGTAACGTTTCCTCAGTATTTTAAAAAAACCTTTTTAACGTTTAAGGGGATGTAAACCAGTGTATTTGTAGCGTCAGTCTGATACTCTGCATGACAATAGTAAAATTGTGCATGCTATAGTCAATGATGTAGTAAGTACAGCACCATCAACTACAATTCGGCTGTAGCTTAACGATAGAGCGATGTTTTGCATGTGTCATTTGTGGTTATTTCATTAAATATTGTTTTGACATGTCCTGTGTGTATGCGGTCTATGGATAACTCTAATTATAATCTGTGTTGGGACATGGAGATGTTGGATGTGTATCACGCGGTGGTTGAATGAAAGCCCAATGGCTGCTGTCCAAGGTGCTGAATAAGCTGCAATGACCATAAATGCGTTCACAACTCGGCTCTTATTCCTCAAGGGCTTGTCTTTCAAACACTGTATAGCAACCATGTGCTTATGTAATCGCTGTATGATGCTGCTGGTCCTGTATTCGACTAGCACGGTTGGCTACGTATGAAGTTCAACATACATGCATTCATAACTCACAGTTAACGTCTGTACTATCACCAAACAGCTTGTGGTATTGCACACCTGTAATACAATGCTTTGATGGTAATGTTGGTGGATTATACTTCGATGTGAAACGAAGCTACGAGGTAGCCAGAATGAGGTAACACAGCAAGTGGGTTGAAGACCTATTTGTATGTATTATTGAGCGTTCTCAGCTTGTGTGTGAGAGAGTTTTCTTCCTACACTCTGGCATTCTTCCACAAGTGTACCCAATAAAAAGAAATTAGGTCAAATGTTCCACGCAGACCCCCTCCTCGACATAGGTGTTAGAGCTGAGTGAAGCTCTGCTGGATGAATACATTACGCGATTATTGGACAGGAATTGAAACGTGACATTTCACGGTTCAGCTCCACCGAGACTCCACATGCCTCTTCCTTGCATTCCTTTAACAAACATGTTACGTGTTTCAACCCGCCACCACCCCCCCCCCCCGGCCTCCACACACAGGACTTCTGAGAAATCCTTGAGCTGATTTTTTGTTATTATTTTCTACCAGGTGTCACACTCACGTGACGTGACAGTTAAAAACACATTTTTTTTAAATTCTCAGAGCAGACATTTTAGCAACACTTTTAAGTGTTACATCAAATGTACTGTTGGTGGAGATGTTTTTGTGTTGTTGCTGTGCAGTCAGTGACCAGGGATGAAACCGTCGCCTCGCTGCACTCGAGATCCAGGTAGCTGAAAGCCTGGATTCGAACCTGAAACTCTTGAGGCCGCCCGACCGCTTGACTCTGCCGCTCTTCTCGCCCCGGCCATTGTAAACGAACATCATCACGACAGTAGCATGGGGATTTTTTTTCTCGTCTCGTGGCCCAAACGGACACCCCCACTTCATTTCAAATAACCCATGTCTGCCGAGGATTTCCCGCAGATTATTTAAAAGAGCAACGTTATCTACGTATATTTCTATAAAATCTTGATTAAGATCAAATATGTTTTCAGTATTATTTAACCGCCATATCTTGTGTGCATTCCCTTTGGCATCGTATTGATAATGGTAACCTCATTTCAGATCATCAGAGGCAATTACGCAATATATACATACACGCACACAACGATGTGACATTTAGTAACAGACTGTAGGGGGTAAGTGCTGTTCACAAGCACCTATTAAGGCTGGCAAAGCACAAGAGGGGGGCGGGGTGTGCTCAGAACTCAGTGCTAATGCTTACACATTGCACCATAAATACACAAGCACGACTGCCATCGCTCTACACTCCCAAGATCTTGTCCAATCTTGAAAGCAAATCAATGTGGAGCCTGGTTTGCACTTTGACCAGCCACTGGTAGTTTTAGTTATTTCTTTATAAATGTATATATAACAGTCCACAGCTCCCAAGTCCTCCTTTAGCTCATCAGCCAATCTATTCTCGAGACCGTGCCATGCCCATTTAGCTCCCCAGCAAGTATCCTACAGGTGGTCATCCATAGCGATTGTTTTCTGTTTATCGAAACTCTCGGGGAACCACGAGTGTCATTGGTCATGACTGAGAGGCCGATATTTGTAATTATTCTATCAGACCAAAGTGTCAAAAAATACTAGAATAGCCTTGCACTTGCTTGTTGAACCAACTACATGAATGTGCATTCCATTATTCTCAAGTCAATATGTAACATGACAATGTCTATAATTTTTTTCTCTCCAACCTTACAGTACAATTGTGCTTGTTTATTTTGACAGTGATATTTCACTTCGTATCAGGATTTACTTCTGACTCCGAGCTCATGACCTGTTGATGTCCTGGGAACACGCACCAAAATGGAACAAAATCTGCAAAGTTAAATGATTACAGATAAGATGAGTTAGAAGACACGGACGGCTGTGGTCCATGCCTCCTGGCCATGCTCTATGGTATAGCTCTTCCTGGAATTCATACGACACTCAAACCGTGAAAAGGGCCTTCTTTAATAGCACATGTTCTATGAAGAAGGGCCGTTGCCTGAAACGTTGCCGATGACATTTGTTTTTATTTTAAAACAGTGTTGTTGATGAATGCGTTGAGTTTTAACTGTGCGTGTGCACCACTGCCAACGCTGCAGCATCACAAAAATAATTTATGTAAATGATGCAACAATCTAGTATATAAGGACATGCTAGAAATAGTCCTGTGCGTTTACTGTCCTTCTGGTGATGTTTATAGGTTTACAGCTTGTGCATACCCTTACACGCATTAGCCAACCAGGTGACGCTGAAGTTAGAATGCCCAGCTCACGTGAATTTTAAAATACAGTACCAAATGTCAATCTGGGGTGAATTCAGCTCATCCTCATCATTGTATTTTATCAAAATGAGTGCCATTTTCTGGTGGGTCATCAGATATTGTATACTGATGTCGATCTCAGTAATAGGAATGTGGAATTTCCAGCACTGGCCCAGGAACATCGGTGGAAGTGAGCACCGCCCAATGCTCTCGAGCCACGGAGACGTTGTGACTTGGCTCGATCAGGAATTCGCTGAACACTGTGCACATCCATCCCGATATCACAATGCCACGTGTGCACTCACTCCGAATACATTGTGTTTGGGAAGTTTGGATTGTGGTCTGGGATGTGACCTAATGGACTATTTTCTATGCTGTAGTAACCTTTTTGTTATTTGTGCTGTTTGTTTTGGTGCCATTTCTTCATTTGTTTATTTATTTAGGATTTTGCTTGACAGTAGGGTTTTCATTTGCTTGGTAGTAGCTGTATATGGGATTTGGTCCTTACATATAAATAAAGTACAGCGTTATGGGATGTTAGTAGCATGAATGACGCTATATAAAAGGATAGTTGTCGTATTATTTTTATAGCTCTCTTGTCCGTTCCATTTCGGGATGGGGGCCTTCCCATGCCTAGCATGTTATGGGGTTTAATTGACCATACTTCACCACAATGGATTTAGGCTGCACTGCCCTCTTATGCCTGCCACGAAGCCCCGTGGCAGCTTATAAAACGTATTTTAATGCATCAGTTGTACACCCATTCAAGTACTATCCGGGCTCAGCTTGGCTTAGCTTCGGCGATGTGATGAGATCGCGCATGCTGCGAGTGATTTGTTCGCGGGCGAATAGCACAAGCTGTAATACAATTTACTTGGCACATCTCGCAGATTAAATGTCCACACTCGTGTTGCAATGTTTATAGGAATTAGTTTATGCGTAATTTCCACATATAAAAATAGACATCTCCGCATGCCATCACAGACCTGCCTGGCTGCTAAAAATGGAGCAGGGGGGATTTTCTGCCCCAGCGTCGAATAAATATACCAGCAGACCAGTTCTCGTGACGACGGCAATCCGTGTTAACTTGTAAATACGCTACACAAATAAATACCACCTAGCAAACAAACGGACAAACAAAATCACTCGACGCGTCTCCGCACATAAACTCTGGCCCACGTGTGGTGTTGTTACCTATGGAAGTTGTTATTAGAATCCGGTCAAGTGGCTCTTGTGGTTAGAGCGCCAAGACGCGCAATTGGACATTTGCGAGTTCAAATCCTGGTCGGGGGGGTCGACTTGGCCCATTATCATCACCATCATCCCTCCGGAGTCGATACAATGACTACCACTTTGTGGAAATTCAACAGTGGTTGTCCTATGGGAATGCAGAATTTCCACTACCGGCTCAGGGCAGCCAGCAGATTTGAGTGCTGCCCCACACTCGCAGGGAGATGATGCTCTGACTTGACTTTGACTATTATTATTATTATTATCACAAAGCGAGTCCGTTGCTGCGATGCTCACCGTTCCTTCACAGCCCCCCAGCCCCCCACATCTTCTTCCTCCCCCCCAACCCGCCCCCCACCCACCCGAGTCTCAGTCCGGCATCCCCAGCGGATGGAACATGGCTTTGTCCAGTACGAGTGAGCCGATGCGGTACAGCAGACGCGAGTACCAATGGACGCCCTCCTCCTCCTCCTCCTCCGACGAGCGCTCGTCTGCCGGCTCGCCGCTGCTGCACGTGCCGTTGGCGGGCCGGCCTGGGCCCAGCCCCGCCGCCAGGCCATGCAGGAGACGCACGGGCCCCAGGGCCGCGTGGGCCAGCTCGTGCGAGCTGACGGCGGCGTAGCAGGATGCGAGCACGCCGTCCACGAGCACCGTGCCGCTCGACACGAGCGGAGCGTATGCCCCGAGCGCCTCCTCCGTGTAGACGGCAGCGACGCGCTCCGGCCGCACGCGCCCCGGGTGGCCCGGCGTCGCCGCCGTTTCCCGCACGAACACGAAGTGGCCCGGGCGCACGCTGCTCGCGAAAATAGCGCCGGCTCCGTCGCCGCGGGAAAAGTCCGTGCCGTTGGGCGCGACGAACAAGAGGTGCGCCGGCGTGAGCTTGAGGCGGCGGCGAGGGTTTTCCCCGGTCTCGATGACGTAGTAGAGCTGGCGGACGCGTGGCTGGCGGTCGAGGAAGAGCAGTACGGGGCTGTAGAGCAGCGCGCCGGTGCCGTCGGCGCTGAGCACACGCTGGCCGGGCTGCACGTCTCGCAGCGGAGCGGCGACGCCGCCCTCCAGCCAGACGCTCGCCTCGCCCGGGAAGCAGCCGCCTGACTTGGCGGCCACAGAGTTCTCTGATGGGGGGGGGGGGGGGGAGCGGTGGGGCGGCGGGGGGGGGTTGGGAGGAGACGGGGCAGTGAGTGAGCGGACGTTAGACGTGCTTTGTACATACGCGTGTTGAACTTCTTTTGCACCGTGCATAGTCAATCATGCTAATCGTGGGTGTGCGTCGCACCATGGAAAGTGCGTCGAGTCGTGAGCCGGACGAGCGGTTGATGAACAAAGTTTGTGCCATTGTTACTTTTAGTCTTCGTGGGGCTGATGTAGATGTGGTACGACAACTAGAATGTCACATTCAGGTGGTCAAGCCAGGTAACCGTCTCAGGAGCAGACACCACGAGTCTAACATTTAGACTTGTGGAGATGAATAGAACTGTACAAAAAATATAAAATAAAATAAAACTATTTGAAACAATGGCAATGATGCGGTAAGAATTCGACAAAAAATATTTAATCAAGACTCCCTGAATCATGGACAATTTGTCGAACGCCGTTTGTGTCAAGTCCAAGTCAAGATCATTAATAACCACTGCTGTGCCCTTGCAAAACAATGGGAGCACGAACAAAGGTGTAGATTACGTTGGCTCTTCTCTAATGATACCCATAAAGCATCTCTCTTTAAGAGACAGCTCTGAGGACATTGATTAAAGCAATGTTTATAAGTTCAACTTTCTATTCTCTTTCATTGAATCGGATGTGCAGATTTTTTTTTACGATTGGCATCACAAGAAGATGGAGCATCAAAGTTAGCTCGTCTTCAGGAGCTCGATGGACTCTTACATTGTGAGACTATGAGAGAAGGTAATGGCTTGGGAAGGTCGTCATCCAGAAGTGGCTGACGATGATGTTAGTTGAATAAAGAAAGGATACATTCTCCCTGCTCCCGCAAAGCATTGGGGTAGCCTCATCTCCACTTGTGCCTCTGACCCAGTGTTGGAAATAACTAATTTCCATGCTATTTACAAGTATATCCATAGGATGATCACAGTAGATATTTTCTACAAAGTAGTACTTGGTTTAATTACCCCCAGAAGGGTAGTGTACTTTTTGTTGTTGTTGTAAAAGCATCTGAACACAATTATATCCCTAGACACTGCGTCATTCAGAAGTGAGACAACACAGCATGTAGATGCAGCAGTGATCAATCATGAGACATCTCTATCTGAGATGTTACAATTTGATGTAAGCAACGATGTTGTCACTAATTTTACAACGTGGACAAATTAATGGCAATGCACCCAGAGCGTCACAAAACAGTATGGGCCACTAAATATAACAATGCTTTCAGGAAGTTCAGGAAAGTAATTCACACACAGAGGAAAAGAAGAAAATGCTCAGCCTGGACTTGAATTCGTGGAAGGGAGTCAGCAGTGGACAGCCATGAGGATGGAGCTCCAGACTGTGGGAGCAGCAGAAGGGAAGGAGTGACCTCCATCTCAGTGGAGGTTGACTCAGGCAGTGATTTCTGGAGCAGAGGCCATGTGGATGAGAGAATGGGTAACCGGCACAGATAGAGAGATGAGGGAGGGTAGAGAGATATTGCATTGTTGAGTTGAAAAGGCAAATGTGGGGCCACTATGGGCTGCCTGCTCAGGTCTACAAATTAGACGGCATTGTGTAATGATTACAGCCTCCCTCTCCAAGCGATAGTTTCCGCATGTGTCTAGAATCCGGCAGGGCAGCACTGTGGTGAGAACAACACTCGACTCAAGAGTCAAACACACACGAGTTCTAATCCCAGTACCATGATGTGTAAAGTCTAATGTTGTCTTGCTATGGAGAGACTGGTCACTGTCATATAAATGTGGAGTTTCCTCCACTGGTGCAGGGTCACCAATTGAGAGAAGCACCTCCTAATACCCCATTGAGCAGGGAGATACTATTTGACTTTGAGATGCACACCTTACCACCATCACTACGATTAATATTATTCACAGCTAAAATTAATTCAGCAGCAACTTCTGGAAGACCAGCGCTTCTTACCTCTATGGAAATGTTTGGCTCGAAGTGAAGCATATTTGGACCAATTTGATCGCTGACAATCCGTGTTTTTCCATCACGCGATTCAAACCATGTATCCACGCTCAAACAATTACTCGGCAATGCATATCCCTACTGGTGATCCTGAGCCTGACGAAAATTCTACATTATCATGGCAAGGACCAGTCGTTTCATACTTCAACTGCTGTCGACGTTCCACAGAGTGATACAGTAATATTCCGGTTTATGTCGGGGATGCGTTCCTGAAAAGGTGCGACGACGAATATAAAAACGACGCAAATCAAAGCAATTTACAGGGCAGGTGGAGGCAGAGGCTGAGAGGCGAGAGATGCGAAAAAGGACGGATTTTGTTAGCGCCGTAAGTGGGTTGAGGCAATGCAAATCAGGTATTGGTATTAATAAAGTGACGACGTATTTGCGAAACGACGTAAAAGGGGGTGACGTAAGCAGGGGTATTACTGTACGTATATTTTTATTGGCTGCAGAAGCACGATAGTCAACCCCTTAACCAAGATTTGAACTCTTGAACTTCTCTGATCGTGAAATGAGCATTCTACCCACAGCGCCATGCGTCCTGAATGCTGTCCTTATTACATCCTGACTCCAGCATTTGAATACAAGACAGGTCAACACTTTCACTCAATTACGCATTAACAAGGGCACGCCAATGGCTATTGCGCAACCCTTACAAAACAAAGATCGCATCAACTGGATTTACATAAACAAAGCCAAATATTACTATTGTGATTACTATCTCAGCAAGAGGCAGTTCTCTCGGCAAGCTTTTGTTTAAAAGATTGTACAGTACGTCGTTTTAATTAACCTTGAGCAGACGTTTAGAAACTTGGTAATAATTAGGTAACTCTGGTCCACTATTCTTAGTGCTACCTATTATTGGCATGTAATGGAAGCTTTAAAAGGTAAAACATGTTTCTATACTCAAACGACCATTAAAATAGTTATCCCACCCATTGATGGCCACGAGCTAGTGCTGGGAATTCCAAATTCCCATGGTGGGGACTTTCAAATTCGTGCTTTTCAATTTAGAAACCACAGAGCGATGTATGTTTAACTTTTTTCGCACTGCACGTAGCCAACCGTGCTAATCGGAGGTGTGGGGGAAGGACAACAATCTAAATACGAAAAGCACTTCGAAAGAAATGAGTAGATTTAAAACTAGATTTAAAACTGTGTAGCTCCAGTGCTTCCTAATATTGGAAGGATGAGCGTTCCAGACGGCCGCAGAAGCACATCTGTTCGATGTCGAGACAAAAGCCGCCGCGAGGATGACCGGCATTCACATGATGGTTTATGCTCCTTGACGAGATCAGCAAGGCTGAATCTCGCGATCCGAGTCACTCGCTCTCGCCAGTCAACCTTACTAGTTCGCAAACAGAGTGAAAAATTGAGTATCGAGAAAGTGTAGAAGGATAAGCAGCTTGGGCGATGGAGGGATGTGATCGGGCGTGGTGGCACACACCTGCAATCATGGAAGCGAGGGTTAGATTGACAAATGGCTGTAAACAAATGTTATCATGTCATCATGATCAGTAGCATAGTGCAGTTGGCATGGGCCCTGGTGCAAGGCCCCCTGTCTTATCCCTCCTCCTCCTCTCTTTGTAGTCTGGTGCCTGGGTCCCTCCAGCTAGGGTTGCCACCTTTTGTCCACTGTCGACCAAGCCCAGACACGTTTCTCAGTCAGCAATTGGTCACCTCTGATTTGCACGGTTGGCCACGTACGGTGCGAAAGAAGTTCAACATACACACACATACGTACCATGCAGTAAACGCTAATACACATCAACACAATACCGGTAGCACATCTCGGTGCAAACAAATTCCTCGCTACCCAAAACGCAGTTGGCAAAAACCCATACAGGGGGCAACCCCTATCCCCACACGGCGCAAAATGGGGCCCCGGTGCAGCTCAACCACCGGCACACTACTCGATCCCAGTCCAGCATTTGTACCGGCTTTGACGGAGCAGTGCACGTGCGCCTTGGACTCGTAGTAGACCCAGTCGAAGCCCGCCTCGGCCGCCAGGCGCGCCAGCATGCCGTACTTGGCGCGGTCGCGGTCCGACGTGGTGATGTCGAGCGCGCGCCCCTCGAAGTGCAGCGACTCCTCCGAGTGGTGGCCGTCCTCGTCCCAGCCCTCGGTGACGCGCAGCTTCACACCGGGCCACTGGTTCATCACGGAGATGGCGAGCGCGTTCAGCCGGTCCTTGCAGCGCTGCGGAGCGAAAAGGAGGCAAGGGCGGGCAGGTGAGGGGGAAGCGTGGTACGTGGATCAGATTGGGCCAGGGGAGGGGGAATCCAACTCGTACGACACGGGGGGCCGCACCTGTCCCCCGCGACTTCGTATGTATGTTGAACCTCTTTCGTACCGTGCGTAGCCAACCGTGCTAATTGAAGGTGCATATTATGTCCCGTATGTTTAACTTCTTTCGCACCGTGCATAGCCAACCGTGCTAATCGAAGGTGCGCCTTCATTCACATCACACGGCTCACACAGCCACATTATGGCCTCACTTCAAAACGGCCCGCAAACGATGTCCATCCCTTGCGGTGGGTGAACACAGTAGCCGCACTCACTGGGTACTGTCGGGGACTTTGTTTCACCAGGCAACGTTGTGTTTCTAATTGCAGCACAGTCAGTTACTTCTGTCACTGGCAACGGCCTCGTGCGATTATATATAACACGTACATTTGTTGTCCTTCCTGCCGCCCACCTCCGATTAGCACGGTTGGCTACATACGGTGCGAAAGAAGTTCAGCATACGTACGGTACATACTTGCGGTGACAAGATCATTGAAAGTCCTCTTCGACCCGAGTGCTATAAATAAGGGCTGCTTTGCGGAAAGCGTAGCATATTAAGTGTTTAACTTATCGTTTAAGGCCCCAGTGTTATTGACAAAATGTGTTGAGAAGAGTTCCCCACCCCTAGGCCTGGACTATCGACGCATGTGTAGTGTCAGCGGAGTGGGAGAAAAGGTTTTTTTTCCCACGTGGCACCTTCTTTATTAACACCTTCACAGGTTCCCCCTCGCACTCTCCCTAGTCGTCTAGCCTAGCCGAAACTCAACCCTGGTCGTGTAAAACCGATGACGCTGACCGAGACAGCCAACAACGATACGGTCACGCAACATCTAGCGAAGACGGCAGCGACAACGAGACGAGTCCACTCCCAGAACCGGCAGCCCTGAGCTCCCGCTCTCAGCTGCTTTTATTCTACCCGGCGCGGCCTGGCTCAGCGCTGGTCATGGCTCCCTTCTCGAACCCACTAGCGGGTTCCAGGGACTTCCCGATGGGGTCTTCCATGACCCTTGCCCCAGTTCCTCCGCCCTGCCGACACACACAGCCGTGTACATGCTCACCGGCGTGTGTGCCGTTTGTCCACCGTAGTTGCTGCTGCTGGACAGCAGTCGGCGCTATTACACTACACGTGTATAACACGTACCACGTTGTGTTTGTGTGAGGAGTGGTGGTGCAGCGGTTAGCACCACCCGGCTAGCTCAGTTAAGATTCTTGGTCACGACCAACATCGGTGGCGAATCGTATCGGAACCGGTTCTGGGACTCCCTGAGGACGACTTGGCCTTACGTGGCAAGTGCCTGGCGCGGTGTGTCAACCTCAGCCCTGGAGAAACAGATGTGGCTGGGCGTGATACTGGCCACACTAGCCCTCTCGTGCGCCACGCCGGCATGAATATGTGCTCCCTAGCAACAACACTTTCCCCAGCACTCTACGTCAGCCACAAGGGGGATCTATGTTTTTGTTTGATGTGCGGTAGCAAAAGATGGCGCTACGGGGAGGTGGGCGACAGATTTGGGGGCGAAACTAAACTTGGAGCCAATTGGCTTAGCTTAAACAACAGAACAAGAATGCTGGATTTTTCTCACACGTATTACTGTTTAAATAAAGCTATTTATAAAACACTAGCTTTACTACCCGGCTTCGGCCGAGACTTGGATTCTTGTCTTGGATTAATACACGGCCTACGCGGAGGGTGGGGGGGGGGGGGATGCGTGACGTCAGCAGGCACACTGCGTGACGCTGCCGCATGCGGGTGACATCACAGATGTGACGTCACAGCTCACTTGCCGTGCAAAATATATCCATTATTGCGCCCCCCCCCCCCCCCCCCCCCCAAATACAAAAGTCTATATTTATACTTTTTGCATGGTGTACAGTCTGGAAACTACCCACATGCCAAATTTTAAGTTTGTTGCATGTCGGGAAGTATGCTAAACATTTAGAACAGACACACATATTCACAAATTTCCCTTTTATATATATAGATTACAAATGTGATGTATATACAGTGCTGTACACTAATTAAGTTGAGATACGCTGTAGCCGAGGAGGCATGTATACTGGCCTCTCCACTGAAACGGGGAGTCGAACCTGCATCCAAGAAGGACGCCAGCTGCCCAGCCACTATCGACGACTACGTAGCTGCTGTTCTTCGATGACAATCGTCGCCTGAAACGGCAGACGGGCTGCAAAAACACCAGCGTCAACTTCGCATCGCAACCCTAAACCCCGTAGTTGTTCAGATGCCGACATTGCCCACAATTTGAAGGCAAAATTGGCGTCGGCGAGGTGTGTGGCGAGTTTCCGAGCGACGGGCTGGAGTGAGCGCTTAGGAGTTCCCGTGAAGGCACGAACAACGGGAGGAGTCCACGAAACCTACAGAGACGGCGGCCACCGCATCGCGCGGCGCTTTCAGACGCGCTTCCGCGGCCGTCTGGAACGCTCTTCCTTCCGATATTCGGAAGCCACTGGGAGCTACGAACGTTTGAATCGAGATTGAAAACCTTAATTTCTTTAGAACTGCTTTTTGTGCATAATTTGTCGTCGCTTCCGCGCACCTCCAATTAGCACGATTGCCTCCGTATGGTGCGAAAGAAGCGATTGTGTTCTTGAGGCATGACAATAATGACGCGACGAATATCGGCTCCCTTTAAAAAGTATATCGTGTAAGTTAACGGAACATTTTACTTGAGAATGTTTAAAAAATATATTTTATATAAATCTGCTTTGCTGAAGGGCCTTCCCAAGCCTTGTCAGTTGTGAAGGTTTTTTAACCATACCTCGCCACGCTGGTCAATGCAGGTTTGTGATTAGTTCCTAGGACCGGTTCGTTCAGATCCCACTCGCCACTGATGTTGGCCGTGCCGGATGCATGTTGCACATCCATGTGCGCTTATGTGTACACATATACTGTATACACACCCATCGATATTCATCGCAATCGCTCTCAACATGAACGACTATCGCTCTCTCAAATAATGTGCACACACAAATACAACTGCATATTTAAATGTACACATACGCAACATTCGTTGGCAGCCTTTCGTTGATTAATGCAAGTTGGATGAACCCACTGCTGGACGATGATTCATAGCGGAGTGCGCTAACCACTGCGCCACCGCTACTCCATGAATATTATAAATGTATGTACTGTATGTTGAACTTCTGTCGCACCTTACGTTGCAAACCGTGCTCATCAGAGGTGCGGGGGAAGGACGACAAAACAAACACAAAACTCAGTCCGAAGGAAATGTGCACGGCTTCGGTAGCTTACTAATATCGGAAGGAAGAGCGTTCCAAACGGCCGCGGGAGCGCATTTGAAAGCGTGCGATGCGGTGGCCACCGTCTTTGTTCGATGGTTCGTCAAAAGCCGCTGCGGCGAGGATGACCAGGAGTTCGCGTGATGGTTTATGCTCCCTGACGAGATCATCGAGGTATTGTGATTCGTTCATAAATTAGGAATAGCGTGAATGGTAACATCGCGGTTACGCTGGGCGATGCACTGTGCAGTTCTACGAGTTACTCATCTCGCTCCACTCTGGTGGGGGTGGGGGGGGTATGTTTATTTCATCATCAGTTGGAGAAGATAATGCCGTGGTTAATGGATTCGCGGCGGCAGCATCGGCATTGTTTGGTTTGGCCGCAGAGCTCATATTGTTTCCGTTTGTGTTTGCGCTCCAGTTAATGGGTAGCGAGGCTGGCGACTCGCGACTGGTTCGGCGAGAGGAGCCCTCCGATCGAACTCACACCCCCTGCCATTCTCTATCCACCAGTGGATGATGGCCTTCCTCCCCCACGCCATGGAACAACGTGTCTCAAAACATTCAGTCAAGACTGTGGCCGTCAAAGGACAAATATATGAAAGCTGACGTTTCGGGCAATGGCCCTTCTTCATTGCATATAAACAGGCCAGAGAGATTGAGTGGATAGTGTGCATTGCACACTGAACTTTACACACACCAGTGGGTCTGTTCATTACATTTCAAAATATTTTCCTGATGAACAGTTTGTTTTTTTAATTAGCCATATGGATATTAGTAGCTTTTGAGTAACAGACAAACCCTTCAATAATAAAAATGTGCATTGTTAAATAAACTCAGTTGTGTTAAAGGTAAATATGATGATGAAATATAGCTGGCGCATTCTGCACCACATTCTGCACGGTAGTTTATTTTTTTTTCATATTTTACCACGTTTGCAAGTGCAGGTTGGTGAAGCAAGGGTGGAAGGATAGCACCCTGTTCTAATAACGCCACCTGCCATGCGGCTGATGTTGACCGTGAACGGGAATCGAATTCGGGTCGCCGGGTTCATAGCGCAGCGCGCTAACCACTTCACCCCCAACCATTAACTTACACCGGTGGTATCCTACCGTGGTCGATAAAGGCAGTTTACACTTTGTTGACGCTCCAAAGTTTGAAATAAATAAATAGTCCATTATGTGGTATTGCATTTGAATAAAACTACGGGCCGGTTTCGCTAATCTGAAAGCTCATCAGGAGTGTCAGGCTTGTTAAACAATCATTGCCGGTTTCACAGATGCTATTCTAAGACCCCCCCCCCCCCCCAAGCGTTAGTCATATTGCAGTTCTGTCCATTGTATATTCTACAAAGACAATTATCTCCTTGTATAGCATTAACAGACTATTGGGGCAAGTGCTGTTGGAGAGCACCTATGAAGGCCCGCACGGCACACGATGGGGTGGGTGGCCAGCACCACGCCCGGCCACCTTTGTCTCCCGAGTGGCGATGTTTACTACACACCGTACCAGATTCTCATTTAATACTGAGTCAACCTAAGGGAGGCCCAGGACCGGTTCATACATTCGCCACTGTTATTGGTCGCGTGCGGGAATCGAACTCGGGTCGCCGGGTTCGTAGCGCGCTAACCGCTGCACTACCGCTATGTTGTACG